ATATTTATTGAATGAATAATTGAAAGTGCCTGCAGTCTAAAAAGTCTCAATCTGAGATCATTGGGCACATTCCATTCTGGGGGATAAAGAGGAATTTGGTTTCGCTGGAATGTAAAAATGAAGGCCCATCCATAAAGACAATTCCCTGCCTGACCTTCTTGATAAGTGAATTGGGCATGGAGAACCCAAGGAGAGACAGTCAGCTAAAGCAAACCCAATTACCACCCAGGAACATATGTTACCCTGAGGCCTCTGCTGCCATAACAACATTGTGTAACTATAACTACAGCCCTGGAGGGCTCTGGCCCTGTCAAACATGGAAAAGGATGTCTTCATCATACAATGGCTTTGTGCTGGGATGACTTCCCTAGGGAACTTGGATCTGGGAAGAAGGTAGATGAGTGGAGGAAGGGGGTGGGGGAGGTGGAAGGGCAGGAGTGGGATAACTGCTATTGAATCCAGATCAGAGTGATTTTTCTTAAGCAATTTTCAAAATGCAGTTATTTGACTGTTTAGTTTTGGTGGTTATTTATAACCCCAGCTGCAGAGGCGGGGAGCTATGCCTCAGCCTGCTGGGATCTGTCCAATGCCTTCCTCCAGGGTGGGGCTGGGGGTGGATGGTGAATAAGGGCGACATGAGAACAAATTAACAAGTGGCCTAGAAGGTAAGAGAAGTTCCAGGCCATCTCCTGTAAGGAGCAATCATTAGTGACCATGCTATTTTTAAGGCAGATATGACCGAAAAGATTTTAATATGAATCACATCAACAACCTCTACAAGTTTCCCAAGGGGATAGAGACTAGGCCAAGATTTTACTTAGAACTTACAAGACTGGTCTGGCTACACTAACATTGCCTTAAAAAGGTCAAGGCAAGTTTTCCCCATCTTCTAGGACACTTAAGCTGCACACAGAGGAAACTGCTGTCCCTAATAGGCATATCACTGGTCAAAAGCAGCTTAAAGGAGAGAGAATGCTGACCCTGCGCAAGTCTTTCCTTACTGAGCCAACACCTGGCAGTAGCTGTCCCATTCACTGAGCCCTTCTGGATGCCAGGCAGCAAGGGAGAGGCTGGAGACAGTGGTCACTCAGGTGAGGCTCCCAACCTCCAGGACTCCCAGGCTTCCAAAGGAAAACAACAAACAAGTGCACTTTGTGTTTGAAATATGGTGCCTGTCATTTTACTGACAATGGGATCACATTAAAGGAAATTAAAGAGATCTTTCAGGGTGCTCCTAAATGTCACTGAGGAGACAAAATAACAGCCACAGCAGAGAAAATGCACAAGGACATAGAGAAAAGGTTGCCCCTGTGACCCTTGCCCTTGAATCCCTCCTTCAACTTTGGGTAAGGTTACATAGCAGCACTTCAGCCACTCGGATCAGCCCCCTCACAGATTCCAGAAAGACAGCTTTAGAGTACAAGTGTGATGATGGGCCTCCTCTGCTGACTCCAGAGTCCCCGTCACCTCCAGTTCAGACTCCTTAGCAGAGCGGTCAAGGTTCTGGGTGGACTACTTCCCCAGTCCATTCCTGTGTCTTCTTTTGGCAACCACTCCTCCTCCACCACGCTGTTAGTCACCTCCATATGCAAGGCGCAATGCACCTCGGCAGTCTGTGTGTGCTGGGTCCCTTTGCAGGGAAAGCATCCATTCCTTTTGACTGGCAATTTTTCTCTCCTATAACAGTTTACTCTTATTTCACCTCTACTATGAATCCTTTCCTAAACTCTCTAGACAAAGGTTTCCACTTCCTCCTCTGTACTACTGTTGAACCATGCTAATCCTGCCCTTTTCCCATTAATGTTCTACAGTGTTTTTGAACAACAAGCTTACTGGCCTGAGGACACACAGTGGTTTTTGCATCTGGTGTGTCTCAATGTGTGGTATATGATGCCTCGGCAATCACTTTGTGTCTCCTGAGCTAAAGTGAGAGTGAACAGACAAACCACTGAGACCAATGTACAGATACAGTCACAAACATTAGGATGTTAGAGGCATAACTGGGATGACTGGAATTACAAGTACCAATAACAGCAGCCATTGTTGAGCTCTTACTCTCTCAGGAATGGAGATAAGCACTTTACAACAATCTTCTCCTTTAACCCTTATGACAACCTGTGAGGTGCTTATTAGTGCCTCTGATCACAGATGAGGAAACTGAGGCACAGATACATTTCAAAATTTGTTCAAGAGCAATGCAGATTTAAAGTGGAAGAGCTGAGATTAAAATCTTTTTTTTTAAGATTTATTTATTTTATACATACAGAGCTGGGGTACAGGTGGAGGGGTGGTAAGAGGATTCATCAGAGACAGGGTAGGGGGGAGAACAGGCAGATCATTGATATACACTGCTGAGGGGAGCAGCAGGGGAGTCAGGAGAGGTCTGCTGCACTATGTGGGTCACCTCTGGGGCCAGGAATCGAACTCTCACTGAAGTGGCTGCTGCTAGCTTGCAGTACTGCGCCTTAACCGGTTGCGCCACCAGGGAGAGCTGAGATTCAAATCTCAAGTACATCAAAAACCCATTGTGGACACTAGGAGAGCTGATGAATAAAATAATTATTAGTTATGTTCCTATTATCTGGGAAGAAGCAAGGGAACAGAACAGCTACTAGATTGTCTAAGAAAAACTATAAATATAGCAATAAGTGCAAAATCACATATCACCAAGCCCTACTATTTTAAATCAGGCAAGGCCTTCTGAAGAAAGTACATTTTAAAGGGAGAGGATATGTCCAGGCAGGAAAAAAAGCCTGTGACAAAGCCTAAAGGCAGGAGGAGCAGTGGACATACCTGTGGGGTGTCCAGCCTATGGGCGGGCAGGGAAGCAACTGGTCAAAGGCTTTGAAACCAATATTAATGCCTCTTTTGAGAGTTAAGTGTGTCATGGTGAAAATATTGCTCAAAGTAAAGATTATATTTGGTTAAAAAAAAAATAGAGGGGCTCTCCCTGGTGGCACAGCAGGTTGGAGCACAGCACTGTGAAACTGGCAACAGCTGCTTCAGTGTGAGTTTGATCCCCAGCCCCAGAGGTGACCCATGTGGCACAGCAGTCTTCTCCTGACATGCCCACTGCTCCCCTCAGCAGTGTACTTCAGTGTTCTGCTCCTCGCTCTGTTATGGGTGAATCCTCTCACTGGCCCTGCACCTCTGGCCTGCACCCCAGTTCTGTATGCATAAATACATAAAAGAGAAAAACATAAAAAAGAAAAAGGATTTAGGATCTCCCCTCCCCCTTTTTAAATATACTTAGCATCATATTTCTATCCTACTGCTGTTAGATTTTCCACCTTTTTACCAGTGTACACTTTCCAAAGACAGGAACCATGTCTAAATGAAACTGTAAGCTATTTTGTGTCAGCTGTAGTGCTGGAGAGTCCAGTGTAAGAGATTAACTAGTATCAAATAATATGTAAAGCTGGCATTTGTGATGGACAGTTTTTTTATTCTAAAGCTCTTTTTTAAAATACCAACTTTCAGGGTGGGATATGTCACCATCCTTGAGTGCTATCCATTCAGAGATTGTAAGACAATAGAGTCTGATTGACTAGCAAGCATTAACTGTGGGTGGAGCATGGTAGGGGCAGTATTAGGAATGTATGAAAGAATGAAAGAAATGAGATAGGTGCTTTAATATTAGAGCTCCTTACCACTAGTCCTGGAGCCAGAACATCCTAGAGTGACCTCACACATTAAGTACAAAATAGTGTGAAACTGAATGCTTATGTGTTGAGGGGATACAAAAGCAGAAGAAATTCGAGTCCTTCTCAAAGTTCTTATGTGCAGTTCAACCTAATCAGGTTATTCCAAATTATTTATATGAAACATTGAAAGCTAAATACTAAAGGCTAAAAGCTGCCTGTGTTAGCAAACCAGGATAGCCTCAAGGAGAGCACTGGGTAAGGATGACTTTAACTCTTCAGAGTACTCTTTATCACACCAATGAGATGTTTACCTTCTGCTCCTTTGTTCTTTAGCTCTGCTGGGGTGGGGGTGCCAGAGAGGTGAGCTGGATCTCCAGCTTAGATGGCCTCAGGTAAAACTGGGTTCCTAACTTAGAGACCGAGCTGGCCAGGATTCCCAATAGTCGCTCTTGGCCAAGCCTTGATCCTCTCGTGGCCTTTTCTCCAGCGACGTAACATCCCCAATAAATCTTCTCCAATTCCCAGTCTTTTCTTAGATCTCTCCTTCCAGCCTTACATCTGTGACAAACTCCTTCTAGGTCCTTTCATCCTTCTAGGTCCTTTCAAAACAGGCCTTCTGATAATTTTAACATCCATGCCTTTTTGAGCTGCAGCTCACTTCCTCCCCTGGCTCAAGCATCTGGATTTCCAGAGGTCATTGGACTAAACGGGGTTCAGTGTTTCTCTGACTCAGGCACGGCAGTGCCCACTCCAAACGCGGGACATCCAGGGGTCTCGAACCATAATGGGGCTGGATAGGGGCTCAACACAGAGCTAAATGGGGTTTCTTTGGAGTTACAGTTTCTGAAGAGGGGTGTCGCCTCCTTCTGCGAAGCGAACCACTAACTTTACTTGCTGTTCGCCGAGAACAAGGACAATGTCTCCTCTACCAGTCAAGAAACTTGCTGATGATGGACGCTACCTTTCGTTTCTTATTAGCCCCGTTCCAACCACTTGGAGACACAGGAAGGCTCTTAAAACAGTTTCTTGTGCAAAATATCTTTCCAACTTGGCGTTTATATGAAAAACGAAAAGGTCCTTTAATCAATTAGTCAACGAAGGAGTTAAGTTTCAGCAACCTGATGGATTCTGGGGATTTCCTTTCTCGACTACCGAACGTAAAAAGATACGGAAGGGAAATTTTGCCCAAGGTAAAGATGAGAACCAGTAACTTCAACTGCCTAGCTCTTGCCCCAAACAAGAATGGCTACCCACGTCCAATACAGGTTCAGTTCCCCTAACTAAAAAATGGCTGGTCTCGCTTTCCGCAAATCGGACCACCTTCTGCCCAATTCTAAAATGGCGCTTACTGGCTTCACAAGAAGAAACGAGACCTCCCAGCACCCTCTCCGGCTTGTAACGTCAAGTGACGCGAGCCCCAGCCGGAAGTGAAGGAAAAAGCGCCTCAGCCCGCGGCGCCTGCGCAGAAGGCTCTAGACGGTGAAGCAGGAGGCACTTGGGATCGTCCGCAGGATTGGGACTGCTACAGAGGCAGCCACGGAGCCCGCCGGAGCCACCGTTCCTACTGCTGCTGCCGCCGCTGCCCGAGTCGGAACTGTCGGGCCGCAGCCGCCGGCAATGCCGCGAAGAAAGGTAAGGGGAACGGGATAGGAGAGATGGCGGGTTTCTAGGGACAGTCGATTGAGCAACGTGACGCAGTTGGCCACGCCTCAGGGTGGTTGGGTTCCAACTTCCCGCTCCCGCGAATCTAGCTCAGCTCCTCTCCCCTCGCTCCTCACCCAACAGAAAAATGTGGGCCCGACCCTGGCCTCGGCCTATGCTTGTAACTATTCCCGCCCTCTGCTTGCCTGGCTCGGAGGCGTTCTTCCCGTTAATTGGTCGCTGAAACGTCGAGAAGCGTATTGATTGGCTGATGACACCGCCCATTTGGGCCCAACGGTCACCTCCCCGCGTGCGGAGGCGGCGTCGGGGCCCGAACCTAGCGTTCTCCGACTGGCTGTGGAGAACGATCCCTCCTCTCCTGATTGGCTGGACTTGGCAGTCTGTCCCGCGGGGGCGCGGTTTATCTGAGTTGCGATTGGGTGGCCGCAAGTCGCCGCCCCTCGCGCCGGTGTTCCAGATAGGTGCAGAGGCGGGGCTTGGAGGCCTTCCTTTCCGGGCGGGGGCACAACAAAGCCGGGGACTTGGGTGGCAGCGCACCAGCGCCCATTCCCGAGGGAGCCCGCTCAGTGCTTTTGCGTCCAAGCTGTGAATTTTATTTATTTGCTTGGTTGGACAGCGCCTGACACAAGAGTTTGTAAAATTAGAAACTTCCTAGAATTGAAAGCACTTAAGAGCACTTGGGAGCTGTTGGGGGGCCCCTCCCCCGCTCCCTCTTGGGCATCTGAACAAATAGGCTTTAATGGAGTGCGGGAGCCACTCTGGCAGCAGCGGAGCCAGGACTACAGAACAAATCAGATTCAGTTCGACAAATGTTTACTGACTACTTGTTAGGCGTGGTGGCTGCTGGGGACTTACAAAGTAATTAGACATGATCCCTGGCTTAAGGAAATCACTGTTGGAGAAAATAGACATACAAATAACTGCAGGAGGAGCTCATAAATTCTGTACTTGGAGGTATATACGAAGTGTTACGGGAGGGAAGTGAAGGGAAAGTGAAGTGAAGTCTGCTCTGGTGTAAGAGGGGAGGTAGGTTGGTGAAAGCCAGAGAGGAGAGCTGAGTTCAGGCCAGGAACGGATGGATAAGCAGATATGATCAGGGATTAGGTTAACTGGTGAAATAGACAAGGCGATCATTAAAACTCCCCTCCAGCTTATTGATTTTCTATGACTTTGTAGGATTCTGTTTGTTCTGGGTTGAGTATCCTTGAAATAGAAAGTTGGGTGGTGTGCTGCTCATTTTGGCAGGAATCTCTTCAGAGAGGCTTTCAAATAAAATATTTATACTTTTTAATGGCTCCTAAAATGGCCTGTATTGGTAGGTGGTATTTACGTTGAGGCTCACTAAATGCAGAAATAGTATTGGTGCCTTGGAATAGGTTGCAGTTCCTTTTCTGCAGTGCCCAAATATAAACAGCTCTTACAAGTGTTAAGTTTTCTTAGTAACTTATTTGTTGTGCTCACCTGCCTGATGCTACTGAAGTCTTTGTGTGCTTCCTTTGTAGTATGATTGTTTTTATATCTTGCTGCAGAAATATTACTGTTTGATCTTGGAGTGTTATTTGCAGTATATGAGCAAAGTAATCCCTTTGTGAAAACTCCAGGAAACATGAACTCCAAATATAACCAATCCTAAGATTTTGGAAAAAGTAATTGGAACTTGGTGGTTTGAAAGTATGTGTGTGCTTTTTTTCATTTAGCAAATCTTTTTCCCCTTTTGATTCAGTAAAAGGCAGTGTTAATACACAATTGAAAAAAGTTATCTTTATGGCTAGTCACTCTTCAGGGGGCTAATAACTGGCGAATAAGTATTAATTGAAAAGATGATCTTTAAAAGCCCTGTTTCTGAAATGCCTGAGTCATCATATACAATCTGCCCCTTTTTTTTTTTTTTTTTGCACTTTTGGAATTCATGTGGAGAAATGTCAATGGTAGATAACATAAAAATGAAGGCTTCTTTGTTTTTAAGATTTATTTATTTATGCATACAAGAACTGGGGTACAGGCCAGAGATGTGGGGGGTGAGAGGACCCACCAGAGACAGCATGGGAAGCAAAACAGGCAGGTGTACTGAAAATACACTGCTGAGGGGAGCAGCAGGTGGGTCAGGAGAGGTCTGCTGTACCATGTGGGTCAGTTCCCTGGCAGGGAATTGAACTCTTGCTGCAGTAGCTGTGCATAGTGCTGCACTTTAACCTGGTGTGCCAACAAGGGAGGGCCCCAAAATGAAGGGGTTTAATATTTTTCTGCTTATGTTCTTTAGGAATCAAGAGTTGTAGACTATGATATTTTAAATTAGTATATGGTTTCTTAAAACATGATAGCTATTCATGAAGACTTTGAAGGAAAGCTACTATAAGTAAAATAGAGTCTAGCACTAATATTTTCCTCACTACCTTGGATTTTCTATTATGTGCAAGGTGATATCAGTGAGACCATTTTGGGTACTTTTATTTCCAGCTTATGGTACTGGCCTCCAAAAGGACTTGTTTCAGAATTAGTGACAATAAGGTAAAAATGATCTTTCTTCATTATTTCACAGAGGTGCACTTAGAAGGTTGTTCCACTTAACTGCCCTAAATAAAGGGAAGTTGACTGGACTCCTTTCTTAGGTTTCAACTTGGTGTTTTCAGCGTCGCGGTTCATTTTATTTCCAGTATTACTACAAACTCACAGAATAAATGCTCTTGTGCTAATGTCTGGATCTATGGTGTTACAGAGGAATGCAGGCAGTAGTTCAGATGGAACCGAAGATTCCGATTTTTCTACAGATCTCGAGCACACAGATAGTTCAGAAAGTGATGGCACTTCCCGGCGATCTGCCCGAGTCACCCGCTCCTCAGCCCGGCTGAGCCAGAGTTCCCAAGGTAAAGGGCTTCCTTCTTCTTGAACACTCCTCGCTACCTGGTCATCATATTATTGTGCTATATGATGTGAAACTAGGTCCTTTGCCTTGGTGCAGATGACAGAAATTAGTAATACGCAGAGAATGACTGCAGAAGTATCATCAGGTCTTTAAAAATGGTTCTATTGAGTTATTTCCATTTTGTAGACCCAGAGGAATTATGTCAGGTATAATGGATGTGTAACATGTGTATACCTGAGTTACTTAATTTTTTTAGTAAATTTTTTTAGTAAATACAAATGTTAACTCTTCACTTGTTATAATGGTTTAGGTTTGTAATGGTTTAGGGACATAAAATAATTTTTTGAATGTGTTTTTGGAGGAGATCAGTACTTTTCAAACTCCCATTTAAGTCTGTTACAGTCAGATACACAATTAATAGGCATAAATAGTTGCACCCAACTGTCAGTATGTAAATACCTAGAATTTTGCTTTGGTAGTAAAGAATCTACAGCCTGTGTGTTAGAAGGTTGTTTGAAGGTTACTAGTACTACTAGCCCTATGGGCTTAGGTTTGGGCTGACCTGACCCCTCCTGGCTCTACTCAGGAAATCCCTGGGGAAGAAGACACTCACTAATAAACAGAGCTAGAACCAGTAGGTGAATAGATTTAGGGGGAAAGTGCAGTGTGCTTTAGGCATTTAGATAGTGCAGATTTGGCTATTGCTATGTGAGCATGTTGCAAAGTGAGTAAAAACCAGTTTCTTAAGCAGAAAAATAAGGCCACCCTCTTTGAGCAATTGTTTCTAACTTTTTTTTTTTTTTAATTTAATGTTTCAACTAAAGTATAGCTGTTGTCTCTGGACTTCTCAAAACTTAATATTTTTGAGCTCAAGGAGAATATTGTGAAATAACTACTGTAATTCAGGTATTATACAACATACTGGGATACCATAAGAGAAAAATCATGGTTCTTGTTCTCCAGGAGCTCAGTGTAGTGCAAGATATAGATTTATAAACTGATCATGGTAATGCCTTGTGGTGAAGACTCCAAAGAGATTTGCTTAGATTATTATGGAAGCTCAGCGACGAGATAGCCAACTTAGGGCAGATCTCCCAAGTGGAAATCTTAAAATGATTACAAGTTAAAAGATGGGAAGATGTTATTCTAGGCAGAAAGAACAGTACATGTAAGGAAGGGATATTAGGTTCTTAGAAAGTATAATTGGTCATATCCTAAATACCTTGAAAATTACAAATGGTTAAAACAAATAGGAATGCATGAGCCCTCGTTCTCTTCCTAGCTACTATATTAGGTAAACACAACTCCTAGGATCAACGTTCATGATGTTGGCTCTGTAAGGTGGCCCTGTCTATTGTAGATGGGTTATAAGTAGAACTGGTGTCAAATTGGTAGCAGATATTGCTAGAGGTGTCAAATTGCTAGCAATAGGCTAACAGTTTCTTTCCCTCACACAAAAATTTTTTCCTTTATTCAAGTAACATTGGTTTACAACACTGTATATGATTCGGGGAAATAGATTCACACCGTATCAGATGTGTTACCACTGCCCGCTGCTAAAGTTCCTTATCCCCTAATATGAGAATTTCACTTTTCTTTTCTAGAGGCGGTATAAAATTTACATATTATCTTAGGACTCGTTGTTGCTTAAAAATATGCTTCAATTTCAGCTTTCTATTTCTTTTATTACTTTTTTAAATATTATATTGGAAATGTAAAAAGTTTCCCAGGTGTTTCAGAATAGGTTTTGCATCCAAAAAAAATATTAAAAGCTGTATTCTTTGCTTACACTTTAAAATAATCTATTATGATTTTGCTTTGGGTTATCAAGGGTAGTAATCAGGAAGAAAATAGATTCTTTAAAAAGGGAAATACTCATATATTCTTCTTTAGTAGTAGAATAACCTGATTTATGGTGGGTTAGAGTAAGGGAAGAGAATATAGTTATTATAAAGCATTAGACCTACATACCAGGGATCACACTAAGTGCTTCACATGAATTATCTCACTCCTCACAACACATTTACAAGGAATGTGCTACTGCCCCAATAATTTTTTGTAGATAAGGAAATAGGTATGAAGAGATTAACTTGCCCAAGATAACCATAACTTGTCGGTATGGTAGAGTAGTTTCGAGTCAGGTTCTGTCTTAATTCAGAACCTTAACTATTAATCCTGTCTATTATTATGGTTCTGTGTCTGACTGGCTCTTTTGCTTATGTTTTTGTTGATAAAATAGCTATTTTAGGGATTTATTGATTTTTGTGAAATTTGAAGGAGGGCCTACATAATACTAAATCATAAGAATGGGAAATAAACAGATTTTCTTTAATTATTTTGTCATCTTTTAAAATTGGGATTAGATTCCAGCCCTGTTCGAAATTTGCAGTCATTTGGCAATGAGGAGCCTGCTTATTCTACCAGGAGAGTGACTCGAAGTCAGCAGCAACCTACCCCAGTGACTCCGAAAAAGTACCCCCTTCGGCAGACTCGTTCTTCTGGCTCAGAAACTGAGCAAGTGGTTGACTTTTCAGATAGAGGTGAGTGGGTGTGGTATGATTTTAGATATATTACAGGGGAACTGGTCAAATTCCCCCCTCCCCCCCCCCTTTTTTTTTTTTTTTTAAGATTTATTTATTTATCCATCCAGAACTAGGGTACAGGCCAGAAGTGCAGGGGTGAGAAGAGGATTCACCAGAGACAGAGTAGGGAGCAGAACAAGCAGATTGACGAAGTATACTGCTGAGGGGAGCAGTGGGCAAGACAGGAGAGGTCTGTTGTGCTGTGTGGGTCACCTTCAGGGCAGAATTCAGCTAGGTAAATCGCTATTTGCCCAATTCCTTTTTTAGGTCATGCTGAGGACAGCTTAGTACTAGAACATAGGAAGTCTGGACTAGCAGACCTATAGTAGGCAAAATGGGCCCTCTTACCCACAGACGACGAAGACTTGAACCAGATTTTCTTATAGCCATGCTTATCATTCCATTTATCCATAGATTTCTGAGAAAGAGTGACCTTTAATAATGTTGAATCTAAGCTATTGTGGCTGTGACTCACGAGCATCAGAGGCCTTGACGTAAAGGTTGCAGAGTGGTGAGCTTCTAGCCTCACATCATGATTTCTTGGTTTCTTTGCAGTGTTTTACATTTTCTAAAAAATGTGTTGTCAGTATTTAAAAATACAGGAGTTTCATGTAAAGACCTGGGTTATTAGAAAGCTCTGGGAGCATTAGAAGGTCCTCATTCACCAATAGTAATAATTGGCTAGAGCTGAATAGTAGCTGTCTTCTTGGGATGAACCATGAGCTCTCTATTTGGCCTTGCTCAAGAGCCAAGTTCAATATATTTTCATGCTCAGTGTCATCCAGAAAGACAACCATTTTCATTTAACTTCCATCCTTTGTATCTTCTGGAAGGAGAGTGGACTGGTAAAGTTCAAAAAATTTATTTCTAGGTCTCTGATGGCCTAGGAGTTAAAGTCTCAGTGCTGTCACCTCTAAGGCTGCCCAGGCAGGGAGCAGCAGACCTCTCCTGTCTTGCCTGCTGCTCCCTTTAACTGTATTTCAGTAAATCCATCTCTCTGCTCCTTACTCCATCTGGTGAATCCTCTCACCTTCCACAACTTTGGCCTACACCCCAATTCTTCTATGCAAAAATTTCTATTAAAATTTTTTTTAAGTTATTTCTACCAAGTTTTAATTACTTACAAATGGGGCTTAGGAAGAATCAGATGCATCAGATGTATTAAGTAAACCCAAGATTTTAGTCAGAATTTAAAGCTGCACAAAAGGAAGAATCTTGATTTCTCTTCATTTTCCATTTAGCCTTAAAGCAAATAAATGACTAAAAGTTGTTGGTTAAATCAGAGAAAGAGAATTTTTAAGTACATAAATCCTGTCAATAAATGAACCCCATTCACAAGCTCTGTCAATTGCTTTTGCTTTAGAAACTAAAAATACAGCTGATCATGATGAGTCTCCACCTCGAACTCCAACTGGAAACGCACCTTCTTCTGAGTCTGACATAGACATCTCCAGTCCCAACGTGTCTCACGATGAGAGCATTGCTAAGGACATGTCCCTAAAGGACTCAGGCAGCGATCTCTCTCATCGCCCCAAGCGTCGTCGCTTCCATGAAAGCTACAATTTCAACATGAAGTGTCCCACACCAGGCTGTAACTCTCTAGGTTAGTGTGTCCAGGTTGTATTTTGTGGTTGTGTTCTGTCATCACCAAACTTCGTAGGCTCTTCAGTGATCACAGACTCAGAGTAACACTGAGTTTCTCACTTGAGTATAAAGCATTTCTGCTTCTTGACCTGTTGTCCATAGTAATAGGTTTGGTTGCAAGGAAGTTGACCGTGATGTACCACTCATTATATTGAGAGTATTTCCTAGTGACACTTTCTTCCTTTCCCAGTAAAAATGAAGCCGAAGACCAGCTATTGTCAAATATGTCATTGAAGGGGGGCCCATCAACTTTAATAAGCACCAACACTGTAAGCCAACACAGAATGGTGGCCCTGTGACCAAAGCTGTGGAGGAAATGGTAAAACAGATTTCTTAAGAAGGGACTTTGAAACTAAAATGGCCCTTATTTCGCTAGTTTTAGATTCTTGATGTTATGGTACATAACAAGTTTAAACCAGATAAAATTTTCTTCTCAAATAACTGAATATCTATCACTGTGGGTTTTTTTTTTTTTTTTTTTTTTTTTTAATAACTGACCTGCCTCTTATTGAGAGATTCTTGTAATGGTTTAAACCTTATTAGTTGTCCTTAGGTCAGCTTAGATGCAGAGAACGAGTAACATTTGAGTGACTCTTAAACTTTTGCCTAAGTTGGAAGGTGTTGATTGGATGTTGAGGCTTTTCACTACTAGGTCTACTTAACCTTATGGATCATTGGGTGTGGCCATCAAGTTGAGGACATAAAACTGTCTATTTGTTGTTCTGTAAGCCTATGTTTTCCCTAGTGTTTTGTTTATTTGATCCTTTTCTGGTCTTAACAGCAGTTTCTCAGATAATTTCAACATACCAAAATGCATAGAGCATTTTGTATTCAAGTTCCCTTGAGTCCTTTACCAGTCATCACTCAGAGAAGATATCTGTGTCAGGCTTAAGTCAATTTCCTTGAGCTAAATAATGAAAAACTAGCAATGGAGACATCATCATTTAAACACTAGTACAAGAAATAGCTAATATGCTTTAAGAGGTAAGGGGAGCTACTTACCATATAGTGAGGAGAAGAACTTGTCTCAGCCTTGCTAGTCACTGTGCATACTCCCTCAAATTGTTACTCTCATGTGTTTATAGAGTGTCATGTGCCAGCCAGAGTTCTACGTTCCGGGGATGTAGTTGTCAACATATCAGAGTCCCTATGCTATTAGAACTTCTTGTCTTACCTGGTTAAGATAAAACACATGAAACCTAATGCATTAGCTAGAAATAAATACTATGAGGGAAGAGAAGTAGGAGATACTGAAAGGGAGAATATACAGAGTGGGTTCATATGGTGACATTTGAGCAGAAGCCTCTAAAACATGAGTGAGCCATTTGAGTATCTGGACATAAACATGGGTAGAAGGAACAGCAAGTCCAGAAGATCTGAGGTGGGAGAATGCTTAAGAATTTGAAGAACACTTAGGGTCAGTGTACTGACTTAGGGCAGTATACCAGAGTGGAGATGGTATCATAGAGTGGCCTGATTACGTGTTATTTATGCCCGGGGTTAACCCCTTAAAAGGGGTAGACCAGAAAGCAAATACAAATCTGTTGGATTAAAAGAATGTTTACTTTGACTTTCTGTTAAAATGTACTGCCAAAGTTTGAAAAGTTTAAATGTTATGAGCTTCCAAAATTATTGATCCTGTTCCACTCTTAGGCAAAGCAGTATCATTAAAAATATTTTTGGTATAAAAGTATTAATGTGCTTGTGAAAAATTAAAATACTGAAGAAGGTTTGAAGTAGTAAGTAAAAGTTCTTTTTTCATTCATATTTCTAGAACCAGTTCCCTGATAGAAAATTACTGTTGGTAGTTTTTCATGAAAGCTGTTCACGAATCCTGGTAGTTCTGTATACACATAGAAAAGTGTGTATGCACATATTTCTTTTTTTGTTGTTATTTATAAAAGAAAATGTACAGTGGTTGGTTTGATATCTTGAATATTTCAAATTTTCAGTAATTAGAGGCCCACCTGTTTAAAAGGTACAGAGAATTCCATTATGTTGATAGTTGATAAGTTATTTAAATTCTTTCATATTGATTGTCATGTGAATTGTTCCTCACTTTTAACTACTTTGAATAACACTGTAGTGTATAGTCTTGAATGTAAATATTTTGGTGTCTTTTAGAAAATCTAGCATGAATTCATACCAGTGGAATTGCTAGGTCAGAAGATCAGTTGCCATTTTTTAACCTTTTAATGTAGACCCAATAGATTGGTTTTAACTTGTTATAAAATGAAACATGATTTGAATAATTTATTCAGAAGTTACTGATATATAATTTCTAAAAAGACTTGTAGTAGCCTTCACATTTTACATTATGCATGGTATTTAACAACTGCATTATGCATGGTATTTAAAAACTAATAACTTAGTTTTTTCTGTCTAAGATAAATTGTATGGTTCTCTAAAAATGAATTTTTAATAATACTCAATGCGAGGAAATGGCAGCCTACATAAAATATATTTCCCTCTCTACTATTTATTGCCCTTTAAAACTTACTCTATAAGTCCTGTATAATTTGTAAAACCCCAATGTCTCCTTCACCCAAAATTAAATGTCTTGTTTTCTATGAAACAAAATTATTTTTGTTGACTTGTAATTTAGCTTAACTAGGTTATCTTTTTGTCTCATAACTATTGTCTCACTATCCTTTTCACTCATAGCTTTATGAATGAAAGGTTTATAAGCCTTTGGTTTAAGAGATGTATAAAAAGAAAACTACATGAAAATAGAAAAATGAAGAGTATCCCTGTAGATAAAATGAAGTCTCCCTTTAGATAAAATGAAGTCTGTGTTGCAATATCATTTCTAACGTTTTCTCCTTTTAAGAAGGTTTTGTGCTAATTGCATGTGTAAAAGTTTGATTATAGAGAGAAACTAAATCTTTAAACAAAACCAACTCTCCTCCACAAAACGAATGTATTGATCAAAATATTAATGTTTTATTACAGGTAGAAAAGAACATTTTGTTCTGCAATATTTATGTTTTCTTTTGATATTGGAAGAAGTTCAAATTAGATAGCATTGCATAATATGCATGCATAAAATTATTGCACCTAAGTCTTGATTAAGTCAATATAAGAAAGTTAATTTCCACCCAAAAAATTCCTACTTTTAATTTTGTTCCTTTATTATAAAAATATGGATTTAGACATTTTGGAATTTAAAAAACATTGTTATTTAAAATAACATTGGAACATAAAGAACTACAATTTATATATACATAGGTGTCTATGAACATACATGCCCAAGCAGGTGCAAAATTGTTTGGACCATTCTGTGAAAGAAAAGAGTTCATTGCTATGTACCTAACAGCACTTACTTTTGGTGAATTCAGTCTTGATCTGACATGTATTTGACAAATACAGCAAAAAAATCAGCTTTGTATCAGAGGAAAATACCACCAGGCTTAAATTTTCTATTCTGAGATTGTTTTTCCTTCATCAACAGGACACCTTACAGGAAAACATGAGAGACATTTCTCCATCTCAGGATGCCCGCTCTATCATAACCTCTCAGCTGATGAATGCAAGGTAATTGCATGCTCATTTATTCACATATACTTAGTGAGTGTTTACCATTTGCCAGGCATTTTGCTAAACACTGGGGATACAGTGTGAACAAAATGGGCAACTCTTTGTTCTTACATTCTAGTGGAGGAAATTTAATAAGGACTTATTTAAGAACTAGTTAAAACAGAACAAAGAATATAGAATATGTAATGAGTGCCTCGAAAGAAATTAACAAGGAGCTTATTTGTGGACTGTTTTAGTGCACTGATATTTTCTGCTAAAAATTGACTTTAAAGACTGCTAGGAATCTTTTCCATCAAGGGATACTTTGCATAAATTTGTGTTCTCAATATTTATGCATTCGATTCTTGCCTTACAACTCTATGAAGACATTTGCTTTTTTCATAATTCCCCTCTCAGTGCTTCTGTGGAATACTTGTACATTTTGTTACTCTGAGTCATACCCCCTCTTGGCTAGTTCTTTTAAATTCTTGAAAATATATAGGGTTTGGAGATAATATACTTTGAAGTAGAGCTTAAACTATTTTGTATGTGGATTGTCACTTTCAAGATGGAACCAAAAATCTAATTATGGGGAAGCAAGAGTTGAATATGTTATAGCCCAATGAATTGCTCAAGTAGTATTTGAACAGGTTAGCAGGCTAGACCAAAGTATTAGTTATTTTCATGGTTATTTTGCTAGTGAGGCCGGGTCATAGGTTTATTCCTGTCTGGGCCAGTTTGAGATTCTGAGAAAGATTAGATTCCCCAGCTAACATTTATTCTTCCTGACTCAAGAATTTGTATTCTTATTTACAAGTAGACCTAGGATAGAAAGTTTCTTTGTTTCTTCTTTCAGTGAAGCAGTATATTTCCATTACTTATATGTATTTTAAGGACAAAGGACTCACTTTTATTTTTCTTCATTCCAAAACTCTTGTGTAAGTGGCAGTTTTTTCTGCTCTGTGTAAGAGTAGGCCTTCCACCTGCAGCCAAGTCAAAATAGGAATAGCTTTGCCAACACCTGCATCAGAGACTAATAAGTAGGTGCTTCTTTCTTTGAAAAAGATTGTGGTGTCTGTTTTTTGAGAGTTATCCTCTACCTCTAATCTCTAAACATAATGGTCTAATGCTATGGATGGTTCTACATAAAAATCTTCTTAAGGCACAACTTCTACAACTTTTGGCTAATTGCAATAGGAACATGTTACTTCTAGCATTTTTTTTTTTTAAGATTTATTATTTATTTGTGTATACAGAACTGGGGTACAGGCCAGAGGCTCAGGGGTGGCGAGAGGCTTCATCAGAGACAGAGTGGGGAGCAAAACAGGCAGATGGATGAAGTACACTGCTGAGGGGAGCAGCGGGCGTGTCAGGAGAGGTCTGCCGCGCCATGTGGTCACCTCCGGGGCAAGCGGGAATTGAACTCATGCGGAAGCGGCTTTAGATTCTCAGTGCTGTGCTTTAACCCACTGCGCCACCAGGGAGGGCCACTTCTAGCATTTTTAAAAAAGAGGAAAATGGATTAATGTGGAGAAGAAAATTTGTGAAAAAAAAATACAGCATTTCTAGCATTTGGAACAGGCTCTGCATAACCCATCTTTACTACCATAACTGGTACTTGGAGGACCAGGAGAATTTCTGAAAATTGTCATCTTTTTATTACATGTAGAGTCTCAATTGAAAGGATTAAAGTAGTTCCTCTCATTTATACAAAAGCCTATCGAGTTTTAAATACCCATGATTACTCTGACTACCCTGGTAAGTGTTTATGACAATGATGTCACCATTTTTATTCAGTCAGAGATCTGTGACTACATGTGCCACAGTGTTAACAAGTATCTGAGGTTTCTATGAATGCCATAAAAAGACTGCACATCCATGGAGCTACATTCTCATGGGGAAATATGGGGAGAGGCGAAATCAACATAAAAATGAATAAGAATTCCTTGTAATGACACATGCATTCCTTGAGACTAAAGGTAGCATAGATTGACTGTTTGGGATGATGGGTACCGCACTGCTTTTGCTCTGGAAGCTAAGGGAGGCCTTGCTGAGGAGTTGGCATTTGTTCTCAGCTTTGAGTCATGACTGATACCAAAGAGGCAGTTGGATCAAGATCTAGAAGAGATACAGAAGTAGGAGCAAGTGCAGAGGTAGCGAGTTAGGATAGACTGCTGGGTTTGAAGAACTGAAAGTCGGGCAAGATGACTGGAAAGTGATGAAAAATGAGGAAGCTGGAAACAGATCATAGAGAACCCTGTAGACTTTGGCACAAAGAGTCTGTTTTTATTTTGATGGCAAATGAAAAGTATTTGGAGGGCTTTAGCAGAGGTGTGATTACAGCTGCAAAATCTTTTAAATATCACAGCTTGTTAATACATGGAGAATGGACTGGAAGGGCAAGAGTTGATGCAAGTTAGGCTCGATGGAGGGCTGCTGCAAAGTTCAAGCAGTAGAAGGTGACCTAGCCAGGACGAGTGTTAGTGGAGACACTCAGAATATCTTTTAGAGGGGAGCAGCCTGTTAAACTTGCTGGTAGATTCAATGTGAATTGTAAGAGAAAGTGAAGAATCAAGGACCTCATCAATTCGTTGACCTCATCAGTTGTTTAGAAAGTGCTACTGTTTATTGATATAGGGAAGGTTTGGGGTTGGAGAATGTCATTCCCTTTTGATCATGCTGAGTTTTTAGTGTTGAAGTTGGGTAGGTAATTGGATGTGAGTCGTTACTCCCTGGAAGATGTAACTGAAACCATTGGCTAATGGGACTTGTCTTAAGTCACTTGGCTACAGCTATTCTGTAAACTTGACTCCAGGTTTCTAGCTTTTTCTTCGTATTTCCTTACTCTGTTCTTGCATGTCCTCATGTTTTCTAATTGTGCAGTGGAGATTCCAGGGTCAAGATCATTAATTAAAGTCTAGTTTCACCACCAGTTAGCTCTAATTATTTCATGTCTTTGATTCTCAGTTAATGACTGAGAAAACAGAATGTGAAGCTTGCCTCATCTGTTTCTTATAGAGGTTGTGGTAATAAATGTGAAGACCCTTTGAAAGTTAATGGACCAACTAAGTTCAGGAGGATACTGTTGTATTCTTACGCTGTAAGTTAACATAGTCTTAGAAACAGGTGGATTTATTGATGCTGTTGATGGTTGCAGGTGAGAGCACAGAGCCGGGATAAGCAGATAGAAGAAAGGATGCTGTCCCACAGGCAAGATGACAACAACAGGCATGCAACCAGGCACCAGGTATGGGCCTCGTTAAAGCTCTGGCCATCCACACAGCTTGGGAGTCCCATAATGTCTTTAGGCTGATCTGTCTCTTCTCTTCATGTCTGAACGAGCAGTCTTCTAGTTAAAGAGTCAGACGCATATTTGTTTTCTGAATAGTGATATTCATGCCTCCTGCCTCATAAATGAAGGAATCGTGCTATCTATAACCACCATCACCATCATCCTGCTTGTTTGGAAGATTATTCTTGCTGCTCTACTTCTTCATTTAGCATCTGCTTTTTAACCCATTGCCGTTTACCTTCAAAGTCTTCCACTCTGCTGATATATTTTCAAGGTCACCAGTGACTTGTAAGCTTTTGCCACTGTTGACTATGTCATATTTCATCTATTGCTCTCTTCCTTGATTTCCTGGATGTCACTTTACTGTATTTCTTCTGCCTTTCTGAATGTTCCTTTATTATACTTCACTCCTTCTTCCCTGGATGCCCTTTCACCTTTACTGTTCCTGCTTTTTTGCTTAGAAACCTGTACCTATACAAGAGATCATATTTATCCTTCTAAGTTGCCACCTCAGCTATTGTAGGAATTCTTATCAGATCTACCACTAATGAATTTCTTTCTTACGTATTTCCATTTTAATGTTTTCCAAATGTCAGTTTGGCCCTTCTTACTTGTTATATATACTGAGCCCCTCTATAAGTGTCTGTTTTTTTGTGGTTAGGTGGATAGAGAGGAACCATGGTGAGAAGTTTGACTTTGGAGCCAAACAGATCTGGATTTGACAATGTGAATTTGTTTTTCTAGCTGTGTGTTCTTGGGCAGTCAGCTAACCTCCCTAAACTTTATTTCCTTGTAAGTGAAAAGGAGTAGAGAATACCTTCTGGCAGGGAAGTCAGCAAAATTATGCATATTAAGTACCTATCCCCAGTGCTTGGCAGGTAATAAGCACTCTCTAAGTGGTAGCAATTCTTTTCTTCATTCCCTATCTTGGGATCTATAATTATGCAGATCTTAAATTTTTATTCATTTTTGTTTGCTGCTGGTCAGATCAGTACTTGGAAACAGTAACATTCAATAAATACTTACTGAATTAAAACTCTTTATTCCTGTTGTGTTGGTGGAGACTTCCATCCTTACCTTATGCTCTGTTTGGGTTAATATTAAAATAAGTACATTCCTGAATTCATATTCACTGACAGTGTCTAGGTGGTGAGGGAACTGAGTTTGGAATTTTTTTTTTTTTTGTAAGGTTTATTTATGCATTCAAGGACAGGAGTACAGGTCAGAAGTGTGGGGGTGAGAGGATTCACCAGAGATAGAGCGGGGAGCAAAACAGGTAGATCAACTGAAATACACTGCTGGGGGCAGAGGCCCCTGGAAAAGAGAGATCTGCTGTGCCATGTGGGTCAGCTTCCTGGACAGGGATCAAGCTGGAGCTGCAGAGGCTGTAGATAGCTTCATTAGTACTGAGACTTAACCTCTTGCGCCACCAGGGAGGGCCCAGTTGGGAATTTTAAAATGACCCAGTAGTTGCAAGGTGGTATAACACGTTTTTTCTTCTCTTCCCTCCTCCATTTTCTCCCTTTTAGGCACCAACAGAGAGGCAACTGCGATATAAAGAAAAGGTGGCTGAACTCAGGAAGAAAAGGAATTCTGGGCTAAGCAAAGAACAGAAAGAGAAATATATGGTAAGAAAAGTTAAACGCTGAATTAACATGAATTGCTGTCACATTTGACCTCTTTTGGTTTCTAAGCTTCAGCTCTTCAGATTTGCCATTTAGTATTCCTTCCCCTGTCAATTGGTAATCCCTCCAATCTGGGCTGGTAAGAGTGGAAGCAGGTGGTTTTTAAAAAACAAAAACACAGTTAGAACTTAGTCATTTGTAAACCTCACTTTAGTTCTAAAGGGCTAAGTTTACCCACTCAAACAAATACCATGACTTGATGATTTCTGTATAAGGGAGAATATTTAAGCTAAAAGTAGTAAACTTATTTTGATAGAAAAATAAAATTCCTACATGATAATAGGTGTTAGTTGTGTATATCTTCTTTAATAAATCTCTTTTTTAGTATTTAATTTTCTTCCTAGTTTTAAAAGTAATGCACATTTATAATAGAAAATACAGAACAGTTAGGGAAAGGATGTAGAAATTATCATTGATCCTGCTCTTTTAAAGCAACCCCACAGTTAACGCTGTGGGACATTCCCTTTCAGCTTGACTTAATGCCTGTTTTCTTTAACTTGGATATTGCTATAAATACAGCTTTGAATTCTGCATTTTCTCTTACATATCTTGAATAATTTCATTAGAATTTTCTCGAATTTTTTGTATAAAATTTAAGTGTTAAGTGAAGACATATTTTATTATAAATGTATAAAGAGAAGGAAAAACCTAATAAAAATCACTGTTCAAGTTATACCACTAGTATTTTGGTATATGGCCTCTCAATCTTCAGATGCATATTTTTATTTTTTTCATGGTGTTAGAATATTTGCTTATTTAGGCATTAGACTAGATTATTAAAAGTATGGTTATGCGTATGAGATAGTCAGTATGGCCTCACTAAGGCAAAGATAGGCCAATTACCTTTTTGGTATTGTCCCTGTCTTGAAAATTATAATTTAGAGCTCAGCACTTGACACTAGATTTTTTGGGTTTGTGTAGGGGAGCTGTGCCCCAGTAGCAGACTATCAGGTTGTATATTCCTTTGTCTTTATATCTTTTACCAAGTTTGAAAGAGATGTACTAGTTCGCTAAAACCATGTATTCCGTGTTCAAAAGTTAGGCCGGTGGTTTTGTGCCTCCCTAATCTTTGTAGCAGTCTTGTATGATGGATGGTGTGCTTCCTTTTTTACAGATTGGGAAACTGAGTTTTACAGAGCTATTTTATGTGGAACCGTACAGGTAGAAATAGTGTCTAAAGTAAAGAGCTCCTGAAATTTATCTTGCAAACATCTGCTTTTCCATAATTTGGGCTAGTTTATTGCGACCCAGTCTTCCCTGTAAAAAATGCTGGATGGAATTTTTTTTAGTGTTTAAGTAGTAAAAAAGTTCATGAAAACTATAATACTTAGAACATAAATCTTAGATGACAGAATCAGAATGCAAAAAGGTACATAGTAGATGAGCCTGGAATTAACCAGAACATATTTTACCTGAAGGAATGGTATTGGTGAATGGTTTCTTCATATGCTAATATATGTGTGAAATCTGTAATGTTCTCCTGGGATGAGCCATCTACTCCACTTACAACCATTATCTCTGTTCTCTGGGTGGGGGTTGGGAGAGGGGAGGGTGGAGTCTTAAGACTGAATGGGAAGGGCTAGATTCAAAGGCTTAAAAGGGAAATTTCACTTGTGGGATTTCTTTCTAATGAGTGGACACTTGTATTAGCTATCATGGTAAGACTTGATACTTAAAACTGAATTACGTACTTAAAGCTGAATTTTTCTTATGCTTCTAGTTTTCTGAGTATCCCCTCTTATTTTTGCATAATATGTAGTAAAAGATTTTATTTTATATTTCTTTTTTACATTTTAAAGGGCAAGTTTATTAGAAAAAAGAGGCAGGCAGTCTTGGGAGGAGAGCTGCCTAGTAAAACATTTCTAAAAGAAACCAGTCTGTTTTTCCAGTTTATTTGGACCAGAGTTCTAAAGTGGGAGCATTAAGCTCTTGGCAGAGAGTGGGTGTAGCAGTTCAAGTGAAAAGGGTTGCTTAGTTCAACTGCTCCTTCCTTCCTGCCTATTTTACTTTCAGTTTAAAATCTTAGACTTGAAAACTTACGGGATTCAGTGTTTTGTTTTCTTTTGAAATTGGGTATCTCTCTAAGATTCATTTCAGATCTCAGGATTCTAGGAGTTTGTTGTGCCTTTGGAGTTGCTATACTTTACTATTAGGTGAATTTTCAGAGAAAGAAATCAAGACAAAGTATCTGATCCTCGAGGTCTTCCATTACAGATGGAGTGAAACTCCCTTTTGGAAAAGTGGAGGAGTATTTTCTCTCCAGATTCATGAGTTAGTGGGTGTCTTCCGGCACTGACCTGATGAATCGTATGTTTTGTGCCAAATCCGGGGTGCCTAGTATTGTTACAGGGCAGTGACCCTTTTGGGGACCATCCTGTTCCAGTGTAACACCTGGCAAGGTTGTGCATGGCCCTCTGGCGTCCGTTCAAATGAAAGAGATTAAGTTCTTAAAAGCAGAGGTTATCATGCTCTTTTATTTTCCTAGGAACACAGACAGACCTATGGGAACACTCGGGAACCTCTCTTGGAAAACCTGACCAGCGAGTATGATTTGGATCTTTTCCGGAGAGCGCAAGCCCGGGCTTCCGAGGATTTGGTGAGTGTTAAAACCTCCTTGCTGAGGGCCACTTGTGAAAGGCTCTTAGAACTGCCAAGAAAAATGATCGGCAATCAGTTTGATAGGAATTAAATGTACCTTGGAAACCTCTTCCCCCCTAGCTACCTTTGCCACTGTCCTCATTCATATTTAAAATTAATGGCCCCTCTTCCTTTCCCAGTTCTTATGGTTTTTCCCTCTTCACCCCAACTCCTGGAAGCCTGGGTGAACAATTGGTGCCCCTTTGTCTCAGGTAATTTGCAATTCTAAGAACCTCTAGACTAGGAGCTACCCCTCTTTGTTGGACTCTTAACCCTAACAGGAGCTCCCCTTTATACTCAACCCTCAATACTGCTATAGAGTAAAAACAGTGAAGAGTAGTGAAAAGGCTGTTGTCAGCTTTTTAGATTACATTTTAGAAGTAAATTTGACACAGCCACCTTTTATATGTTAAAATAGCTTTCTATTGACCCTTTGATCCAGTTTCTATTTTTGACCTCTTTGAAGGCTGCAGAAAGAGTGGATGTTTTCAGATAGTTGAGCTGAACAAATCACAGGGGAATTAACTACCAGTTTGCCCTGTGGCAGACCCATCAAGGGCAGCCTGAGCACACACCTAAACACCTATTCAAGACATCACAATTACTGGGGCCTCCTTGATGGCGCAGGGGGTTAAAACACAGGACTGTGAAGCTGTCCACAGCCACTGCAGGACAAGTTAGAACAGGGAGACCTGTTCTTCTCCTCACTCTCTCTGGTGAATCTTCTCACTCCTACACCTCTGGCCTATACCCCAGTTCTTGTAGGCATAAATAAATAAATCTTTAAAAAAAAAAAAAAAGAAAGAAAAGATACCACAGTTACTATATTGCCAAAAAGCCATAAGCATCTTATGAACTGGAGATGCAGTTTAAAGCTACGCTTTTCACTGGCCATCATTTAAATTTTATTTTTATTTTAATTGATCTGGTGTAAGTTTACAACACTATAAAAGTTGCAGATATACAGTTTCTTAGCAGCTGTATACATCACACCATACCCACTCCTGATCTGTTCTGACTTACAGTTAATTTACACGTAAGTTTTTATACCTGAGGCAGAATTTTCAACACCTTTAAAAAAATTTTAATGATTGAGCTTATTTACTTAACCAGACTAAATGTGTCCGGCAAAGCTTGTTTATAAAGGAATCATATCTTTTATAAAAGATTGATCAGGGCCTCCGTGGTGGCCTAGGTGTTAAATCTCAGCTTATCACCACTAAGGCCTGAGTTTGGCCTCTCTCCCTTCCCCTCAGGTTGCTGACCCACCAGTGGCAGAGCAGACCTCCTCTCTCCCTCCAGTCTCCCCTTTATTAACAAAGGCTTTCCTTAATAGCCTGTTTCAGTCAATCTGCTGTACCTGTTATGCTCCCCACTCTGTCTCTGGTGGATCCTGTCATCCCTACACCTCTTGCCTAGAACCTTGTATGCAAATAGATAACTAAATCCCTAGCTATTTTTTAAAAAATTTAATTATGAGTTTTTCTTTTAAAATCCTCAAATATACTGCAGAAAACTTGTAGGGAGCCGTATGTAATAGTTGCCTGGGTATGTCCTGCGTTTTTCCCTAGCCTGCCCCTGGGGCAGCTTTTCCTAGGCTGCCCTTTGGCAACTTCCACCTGCTTATGTACAAGTACTTTACCTATAACCAACTCACAGCCCCTGAATGGAGATAATCTAAAAATTTTTGACTTTTTAAAGTTTAGATTCCAGAACTAAGTTGTTGTACATGTTTCAAAAATACTTTTAAAGCACCCACATTGAGTGGTGCTTGTGTATGTGTGCATATATGGTATGCAGATTCACAGAGCTTTGTGAAAGCTGCAGGTAGCTACAGCACATTCTGTAGCTTTTCTGTTTCTAAGGGGAGTCAGTACTTGCGGTAGATTGCCTTTCTATTTGGTTTTGCTCAGCCTGATACTTGTTTTGATATCCAAAATGTGGTAGGGAGCAGAGGAGAGCTGCTCTCTGTTGAGACCTGCTCAGGACAATGTAGGTAGGGTGTTATCTCCTGTAGGCTTCTTGACTGTCCATGCCCACGAAGTCCTCTTGAGTAGAAGCTACATTTGTTGACTTTTCCCTCATAGACTAGAATGAGGGTATACCCAGAAATTTACTGAAGCTTTAAAAAAGCAAATGGGATGGGTTCTGTTACTTATTTTTGACTTTTCATTTCTTTACATAGGAGAAGTTAAGGCTGCAAGGCCAAATCACAGAGGGGAGCAACATGATTAAAACAATTGCTTTTGGTCGCTACGAGCTTGATACTTGGTACCATTCTCCCTATCCTGAAGAATATGCACGACTGGGCCGTCTCTACATGTGTGAATTCTGTTTAAAATACATGAAGAGCCAAACAATACTCCGCCGACACATGGTAGGTTGTTGGGGCTCCTGTGCCTGTGGTCGCCATGAGCTGTGGGTATCTAGACTTAGTTAAATTGCAGCTTTAAGCCATTTTTATTTCCTGAATTGTGAACTGAAAAGCATGCCCTACAGGATTTCTGTCATGTGGGCAGGGGTGGGGAAATGATGAGGTTAACTTAGTCTGCTTAGAAGAAAAGCTGTTCCTTTTCTTCTGTGGTCGCTTCTCTTCCATCTTTCTTTCTCAGGATTTCCATATGCTGAGTACCTGCAACATAGGCTGCCATGATTTCTGTCATTTCACTCACTCTTTCTCCCACTTTAAAGATGTGTTTATTTATGCATATAAGAGCTGAGGTACCGACCAGAAGTGTGGTGGATGAGAGGACTCGCAAGAGATAGTGAGGAGCAGAACAGGCAGATTAACTGAAACACACTGCTAAGGGGAACAGTGAGCAAGACAGGAGAGGTCTGCTGCGCCATGTGGATCACCTCCTTGGCCAGGGATGCTGCAGTGGCTCAAGATAGCTTCATAGTGCTATGCTTTAACCCTTTGAGCCTACTACTTTAGTGATACTGCTTTGTGTGTGTGTGTGTGTGTGTGTGTGTGTTCCCGTCTCTGGGCCACACGCAGTCCATAGTTTTGTGGACCACAGCCACAAAACTATGTGCCAGGCTTGACTTGAGGCTGGGCTTAGAATGCCAGAGAAGGAAGGTGATGTCTATGGACAAGACAGGTCCAGACACTAAGACACATGGGGTTGATGGTTTCCAAAGTTGTAGATTATGGAGATAAAACTAAAACGTGATTTTAGGATTGAAAGTAAGACTGATAAATTTTGATTGATGTGAGCAGCTTAACATTTATTCCCCTCTTATTCCTGCTTATTATTATAATGTCACTAGCCTGTGAGATAGCCAAAAAGGACCATAACTAGTAACAGGAGAAAACAGAGGGTTTAGATAAATTTGGTGTATTACACAGCTTGTGAAAATTAAATATAAGGAAATAGATACCTGTTTTAATCTTCTGATTCCTGTGATTTCAGTTAATCAGTGAAATGGGCCCTTTGGCCATTTGGCCAACAGTGTGGCTTCTCTTTCTAAACAAGTCACTGTTGGATTAGTTTGGTTATTGTTGGAGAGAGCCAGCGTTAGTTAAAGAGCAGAGATAGGAACAAACTGTAGGTGGAGCTTTCTTGGAAGCAGTTCCAGTTAATAAATATTTGGATTTACATGTTTCAAATTGGGGCATGAGTCTTGAATTAACCAAAACACAGTCAAATTTAATTGAAAACCTCAGTACACCTGTGCTTTTAAACTGTATTTTTGCTATAATTACATAAACTGTTCAAGAAGTCACCTATTCACAGCAGTGGCTGACAGGTTACATTAATCTCTTAGCACCTGAGCGAGGAAAGGAGTGCCTTGTGCCCCCTTGTGGTCACCCCCTCCAGCTTCTTGCTGTTCAACCAGGCAGCTACCTTGGCTTTTTTTTTAAAGCCATAGAAGGACTTGTTCCTATTTCCTTATTACAGAGGAACACTTTGGGAGGGGTGGGTGAGTCTGTTCTAATCTTGAAAAAGGAAGATCATAATAGTTCAGTGGTAAGAAGTTACTGGTAAAGGTGATGGTATGAGTATTCCCATCTTTACTTAGCAACACTAAGCTGCTGGACAAAAGCTGCTTAAGAATTTCCTGTTGGTGCAAGGCATTTTATAACAAGCAAGGGTATTTTTATCTGGCTTTTACGTAGTAGATGATTTTAATCTCCTGGGTTGTAACAGTGCCAGAATAAAGTTTTAAAAGCTTCAAACTGCTATAAAAATGCAATAAATGCATTACAGTGACTTTAGAAGTCTTTGTTTTGCTGGGGAAAATCTATATTCTCTAGTTGGCTTACTGTCTGTTATCACCACTAACTACATTTGCCCTGTGATTCCTTTTCTTTTTTGAGTAGCTGTCTTATTGGGAAGATTCATTTATGTTCTGTGAGTTTGATTTTCTTGCAGGCTAAGTGTGTGTGGAAACACCCACCCGGTGATGAGATCTATCGCAAAGGCTCAATCTCTGTGTTTGAAGTGGATGGCAAGAAAAACAAGGTGTGAAACATGGTGATGAAGAGGCGGGTGGTGGTGATGTGGACACTGACACACTTCAGAAGCAGTTTCTGGCTCCAGCTCACCTTGTAAAGAAGATGGAACTCTTTACAGATAGATGGTTTCTGTTGAACTAGAAATAATGGCATGCATGGTCTTTATTTTTAGTCCTTTTTAGGCCTTTATCAAATAAGTTTCAGACTCTCTGGCCTACTCATGAATTCTTGGTTCTCTGCTTCCAGATTTACTGCCAAAACCTGTGCCTCTTGGCCAAGCTTTTTCTGGACCACAAGACATTATATTATGATGTGGAACCCTTCCTGTTCTATGTTATGACAGAAGCGGACAACACTGGCTGTCACCTGATTGGATATTTTTCCAAGGTCAGGAGGATCTGGAGAACTAGCTCTGAAGCTGACCAGAGCGAGCTGGGTGATTGATGTTGGTATATGGGGACTCAGATCACTGATGGGCAGAGGCAACTCTGGACAATGATGACACCTTCTTTAAAAAAAAAAAAAAGCTGATGCATGAAAATGTGCACTTCTTTATTAAAAGCATCAGGTTTATTCATTCCTGCATTTGTGGGTTGGAGCTGCCTATTAATTACTGGCCAAGGCCCTGCCTACCAGCCCGCAAGCCCACATCTTATAGTCAGGCCAGGATTCCTGGCTTTGCCCTCTTCTGTGTTATTAACTTAAAACCAGGAGTAAGTTCCTTTAGCCTGGCTTGCTAGCTGGGCTGGCAGTGATAACACCACTTTCCTTTGAAGACTCAAGGTCAGATTTTGCTTAGGACATTTTTCTTTTGCTTAAGACTTTTAAGTATGATTATTATGTGTTGAACATAATTCATGTTGTGAAATTCATGGTTTCAAAGTGTACAACTAAGTGGATTTTAGTGTGAGTTGTGCAACTTTGCGCAATTGCACTGGTCAGTTTTCATTACCCCTGTGAAAAATCTCATACCAATAACAAGCCACTTTCATTTCTCTCAACACCCGCTCAGCTGTCTATAAATTTGTTTGGACAGTTCATATAGAGTCATACAAAATGTGATTTTGCTTTTTAACCCTCCCGCTTCCAGAATGGTAACGTATTATTTGGGATCCCTGCCTCCTGTGACAACCTCCTTTTGAAAAATTGCTTTTAAAGATGCTGCTCTAGATTGACTCAGCAATCTTAACCCTGCCCTGTTTGCTCTGACTAAAGGAAGCTGAGTCAGCCGACTTAAAATGAGACTGGAGGCCTTAGAGCTAGGAAAACCACGGCTTTGGCTTTAGCCATTGTCTAGGGTATGGATGGAACAGCTGTGGGTCTTCTAGCCACTCCCCAGGACTGGTCAAATATTTTGCAAACAATCTTATTTTATTTTGTATCTGTGGGACAACTGACATCTTCGGTTCCGAAAACAAATGACCTACTCCTGTTTGCTCTTGGTTTTAGGAAAAGAATTCATTCCTCAACTACAATGTGTCCTGTATTCTTACCATGCCTCAGTACATGAGGCAGGGCTATGGCAAGATGCTCATTGATTTCAGTAAGTGAAACCACTAACTCAAAGCCACGTCAAGTTTGTTTTTTGTCGTTTGTTTGTTTTATGTACTCTACCAGTCCTGGTATGGAGTGGGAGGACTGACTGATACTTATTATGTGACTCAACTGAGGAGAGAACATGGTCGTAGTTAGTTGGCCGGGTTACACATAAAGCACAGTGAGTGTAGGGCTCTCACCTGGTACCTTACACTGGAACAAAGGATAATAAAGTAAGCTTTTTAGAAATATCCCAGTTGGAGACTTAGTAATAATAGCACATAAATGCACGAGACTTCAAATCTTTTCCTAGATGTCAGGGACTTTCCTAGAGGTAGACTCTATTATACCTGACTGAGACTTTGAACTTCATTAGCCATGTATTGTGTTTGGAAATTTGCCTACTTACTAAGAATTATTTGTAACCCCCTAAGCCAATACTCCCAATACTTTTGCAGTTAGTTGTGACACATAATAGTAGCAAAAAGGAAGTCACCGCTTGTTCCCAGCTAAGGTCAGTCAGGATGCCATGTTTCAGTTCTGTGTGAACAAGTGTACTTTTCATGACTCGTTCCACATTTTATTTTAGTTGCTGACATTAAGTGACCTCTACATGCAGTGCTAAGTACTGTCTGGAGGGCGCTAATATGCTTGAGATGTATGGGTTGAACAGGCTTCATGCAGACCTATGGTAACGCATTGTTACCCATGGGTTCACTGTTCAGTTAGTCAGCAGTATATATTAGGTAGGAGTTTTTAAATGGAAGCACATAAAACAAGATTACATTCATGACAAAAACATAACTGCATTCTCACAGGACCCCTAGGAGCAGCTGTTCAGTGTGCCCTAACTCATTGTTTGTGGTGACTTTACAGAACACAGCTGCTAAAAATAATGAGTCGACTCTCTTGTTCACTGTTTGCTGTTATGTGGCACATTTTAGTCGGTTAGAGTTCTTAGATGAGCCTTCCAATCTTTGAGTTTTAAGCAAATTAAGAAACAGTAAATTGGAGGGTGGCAGAATCCACCAAGAGAAGGTAGGCAATGTATATACTGGAATAATCAGCACCTATGTTATGAACTTGATTTTATGGAAATCTTCAAACATACAAAGATATTATAATAACCCTTATGATTACCATTTTATGACTAACCTATTGCATCCCCAAAAAAATCACCCTCAAATTTTTTTTTTTTAAAGACTTATTTATTCATACAAGAGCTCTGGGGTATAGGCCAGAGATGTGGGAGGGGAAAACCCGCCCAGGGTTTTGTAATATTCAACCTTGCCTAATTTTGTTCTTCCCCCCCCCTTTAATTAATTATTTTTACTCAGAATCAGATAGAATTGATACATTGTTATCAGTAGATGTGGTCTATAAATCATTTACTCTTTTAAGTTCCAGTTCCATTTTTCGTCAAAGAAATTTAATACTGAGATAATCTATTAAATCTTAAAGGGATTTGAGAAATATGAAAAGCTACATAATGAAAGGCTTTCCACCTCTTTGCCACTGTTCTCAAGACATATATATAAATAACCATTGTCAAGAAAGTTAGATGAAGCCTTCTATAGTTTTTTTTTTAAGATCTTCCTTATTTATGCATACTAGAATTGGGGTATAGGCCAGAGGTTTGGTGGTATGTTGAGAGGATTCACTAGAAACAGCGGGGAGTAGAACAGACAGATTGACTGAGGTACATTGCTGAAGGGAGCAGCAGGCGGGCCAGCAGAGGTCTGCTGTGCCATGTGGGTCACCTCCCTGGGATCAAACTTGTGCTGCAGTGGCTGTAATAGCTTCATGGGTTTAATCATTGTGCCACCAGGGAGGGCCCTCCTTCTGTAGTTTAATAATGTATTATAAATAAATGCAAATACATTCTCCTGTTTTGTTCATACAGAGGCAATGTACACCACAGCCACATGGTAATTCATTGGAGGACTGAATACTAATTAATCTTGCAGAGCAGCTTGGATACTTAAACCTTCTACGATGTTCACATACTTTCAGTAATATGATGAGATACACTGTTAGAAAATGTGTTTTCTTGTTCCCTGGCAGGTTATTTACTTTCCAAAGTGGAAGAGAAAGTTGGCTCCCCAGAACGTCCTCTCTCAGACTTGGGGCTCATAAGCTATCGCAGTTACTGGAAAGAAGTACTTCTCCGTTACTTGCATAATTTCCAGGGCAAAGAGATTTCTATCAAAGGTTGGCTTTGACTCTTTAAGATGATTATTACCTAAGACCTTAACTCCACTCAGTAACCTAACTTAATCACCTGGTAAGCACTGTCACAGCTTTTGTAACTGGCCAGGGGAATGTGCTCTTTTGCATTTCACTTGGTGAGGAGAACAGGTGATGCATTGAAAATGGGCCCTTTGCAGAAACCTTTCCTAAAGGTACCCAAACATTCCAGAACACCTGGCCCCTGGTATATGATTCATTTTCTCAAATCTGGGACTGCTAACACTTCAACATGGTGAGAAAGAAGAAAATTTTTCCAGTCTTTTGGCACATCCTAGAGTATTTAATATATCTGTACTTATGCAGGGGGTGACAAATTACATTTGATCTGTCTTTGACATTGTTTTCTATCAAGGGCATGAATGAGTTCTTGCTGTAAATCTCTCTTCTGTAGTTCTTTAGACTGGTCAACTGAATACTTTGTAAACTTTTTCTGGGCACATTGGTTATGAAGAGTTCATCCATTTGCAGTCCACCTAGATTTCCTCCAAGGGAAAGAGCCTTGGTTGTAGAGTAGTTAGATTTGTACTGTGGCCTGCTTCTCAGTAGTTCTTCTGTTTCAGAAATTAGCCAGGAGACAGCTGTGAATCCTGTGGACATTGTCAGCACTCTGCAAGCTCTTCAAATGCTCAAGTACTGGAAAGGAAAACACCTTGTTTTAAAGAGACAGGTACGGTTTTTATCAGCTGCTTGCTCATTGTTGAATGTACTTGAGGCTTATGAATGGGGCAGTGACACCTAAAGGTAATCCTCCTTTCTTAAAGGAATTTGACGCTACATACCTGTCACTTGGTCGTATTGTCCACTGATGCCTTTCTTAAGCTTATTAGCTTATCGCCTGCCTTATCCTTATCAGAGCTTTTGGTAAGCTCCTGTCTCAGGTTTGGGTGGTACAAGTTAAGCAGCTTTATATCTCAGTACTTCCATCACTTAAAGATTTTCTTGGATTAAAGAAAAACTCCTCTCTGTAGGGAGGGATCTTCACAAACTCCAGTGCTCATGGATGTTGCTTAAATTCCTTTAACACAAGCCATCTCAACTCATGGCCACGTAATTGTTTTAATTATCTGCGTTGAAGGAAAGATGAGTAAGGGGTTTCAGTTTTCACTATGGCGTAAGAAGAAACAGATTGGATAAGAAAGCATTTTGTATGTAAAATGCATTTTCTTTTTTTAGACAGTAGTATTACTAGTAAACCATTGACAATTCCTTTTTCGCAGTCATTTTGGGCTCCACCTTTATATGATGTTTTAGTTGAATGCACATCATAATTTTTCCTATTCTTCTCTTAGGACCTGATTGATGAGTGGATAGCCAAAGAGGCCAAGCGATCCAACTCCAATAAAACCATGGATCCAAGCTGTTTAAAATGGACCCCTCCAAAGGGTACTTAAAGTGCCCTGTCACTCTGAGCCAGCGAACCCAGCAGTAGGAATCCATGCCCTAGGGATCTGTCTGTCATTTCTGTTGCTCTTGTGATTGGCAAGTACAGTGTCCTTTGGGAAGGCCACCCCCTCAGGACTGTCCTGGCTCCGACCTTCGTGTACACTGCAGACGCTGGTTCTGAGGAACTGTTGTTTCGGCCTCAGTGAGGTTGTCCGGATGGGATCTCTATTAGATTTGCGTGTGGATCCCTGATAGCACTGACCCAAGGTGTTCTGTTCGGTACTGCACCTGTCCAGTCACTGGTTCTCTACTCATGTTCTTTAGCCCCATGAGGTTGTGTCATGTCTTCTAACCTTTGTACTCGTGCTTCTTGCTTCCCAGTCACCAGACCTCCAAATGAGGTTGCCGCCACCAGGACCTTCCCATTTAGTCTTAACATGTGATCATGGAGTGGCAGGGAGCGGTAGCACTGTGTGTGGGGGGGGAGGGTGTGTTCCCTTTGAGTTCATCTCACTTCAAATCTTTTCCTCCGTTTTTATTGGAAGACCTTTACTTATTTTTGCTCAGTATCAGGCTGACCAGAGGCATACTTTTGAAGACTCTCCAGGGTTTAATTTTTGGTAATAGCCCATAATCTAGCTGAATGAAATGAGGAACAGGTGATTTGAGTTACCTGTGGGCAGTGCTTGGTGGAAGGGAATGAACACAGTTTGCCTCACCTTAAGTGTCCCGTGGTAAATGTTTTCTCTCCATACTCCCTGTCCCTGCCAAAATACATGTTCACTAGTTAATTATACTGTAGAACCTTTTCACCAGTATCAGTCTGACTTGGCACAACGATAATGCCACGTAAGTTGATTTTTATCTGAACATCCTCAGAGAAGTAGAAAGTGATCAACAGAGGCTTCTGTCAACAGCCACAGCACAGCCACAAGAGTGCCGCTCCTGCCAAGGTTTGCTTCTCTGGGCAACAGTGCCTCGCCCTCCCTCCGGCGCTGAAGTGCTCATGTCCTGCCAAGAAGTCCTCCATTTCCTTTTTGGGATTTACCATCTTCCCTCTTTTCTATGGTCTCCTTTTGGTGGGGTTCCTGTGAAGGAAGAGATGGCCCCTTTAATTTCTTGGGCCCACTATAACTGGGCGGCTTTTGATGTATGACATGTCACCCTTCCCAACTTGCTCTCCTCCTACACTGCTGTCTTCATGGGACGCCCTCACCACAACCCCAACTCAGTCATTTGTGCCTTTCTTCTCATCCCTGTACACTACTTATACTCACTGTGGGTTGAGGGGAGCTCATTTTAAGCATGTTCAGTGGCAGCTCCCCACCAGTTTCAGTGTCACTGTTAAACTATCCAAAAGCAACTTCACTGGGGGTTTTCTTAAGGGGTAAAGGCCTTTTACAGAAGCTGATGCTTTCCCCCCTTCACCCCCGATGTGTTAGAATGTGCTGTTCTATATCTACTCCTCAATAAAGCATGTTCTCTGCTGAAATCTGTTTGCACCCAGGGGCTCTCATTTATGTATGAATGTGGTATGGCTGACCTGCTACTAACAGTAAATGCACTTGGGATTTACTTTTCCCCAGCAGCCAACTATTGAGGAGTGTGGTTTGTAACTGTGGGTCTTTTTTTCTTCTGTGATGTGGGCGGTGTGTGGAGGGAGTGCTTACTCTGAATTTGTCTAGTTGGAATGTAGTCTCTCTGCCTCACTTTGGTTCCAACCAACAGGCATGCCTAGCACTGACTAGTCAGTATTTTAAAGTGCATTTTCCTCTGATTGCAAGGTTGAAGGAGCCGGCCAGAAGCTAGGCAGTGTGGGGTAACGGTCCATACTCGTGGAGGTGGAAAAGCATTTCTTCTCCAAGTTCATTTGCTAATAATGAGCATTGTGACTGCTAATCCTTTCCTTTTCTAGGTTGAGGTGATTTCTGAAAGGAGCTGCATTTTTCAGTAGCAAATAACCATGCAGGTCAAGGTTTTAGAGAAGGAAACCTGGAGTCAAGGTGACACAGTAAGCGATGAAGCCAGAGCCTTCCTTAACTTTGATTCCTTAATGATGAGTTATCCTCTCATTTCTAGTTTTCTTTGCTTAAACCACAGGCCTTTGTGCTTCTAATGCCTTCCTTTGCCAGAAAAAGGAAATTGGTGAAAACTTTGAGATAAAAGTTGTTCTTAGTTGATTCTTTTAGCAGTATTTGTGGGCTGGGGAGCTAAATAAGGAAGCAAAAGATGTCTTCACCCTAGGCGTGTGTCTGAGAATGAGCTGTGTGGTGGGTACTGCCCTGTTTGCTTATAAGGACTCCTTCAGTCCTCACTTCAATACCACCACCGAAAGGTGGGTATTTTATCAAGGCCCTTATGGACTCCAAAACCCAAGGAGTGGGATTTGTCAGTGCTGTCTTGAGTTAGGGAATGCTTGTACTTATTTTTCTCACAAGAGAATAGTTGGCTTTAGCTTTGATTTGTCCCTGAGGTTCTGGGTGGTTGCCTGGGTAGGGTTAGGAATGACATTGAACGGAGTTGCCTGTAAAGCCAATTGGTTCAGATCAAGGTTAGGCTACATATGAAGAGTTAGTATAGAAAAAGCCACAGCTTGCTTACAGTACACATTCCTTCTGGAACATTAAGAATATATTTGTGACTTTTCAAGGTCAGTCAAACACATCAGCTTTTTCCTTCCCTGAAGGGCAGTTGGCATTAGCCATACAGTTTTTCACAAGGGGTGTGAAGAATAAGCAGCATGGTTCTCAGCAGTGATTCTCCTGACCTTTTGAGAATCTAATTAAAATTGGGTCTTTCGTTACCTTAGTGCAGATAAGCATTTGTCTATAGTTCAGAAAATTGAGCCTTTGAAGTCCATTCCTGAACGTGGAGGTAGAAATAAGCCCCAGCTTAGGCCCTCTCTCTGGTGGTGCAAAAGGTTAAAGCACAGCACTATGAGGCTGCTACAGCCCCAGTCCGATTCCCAGCCAGGGAGCTGACCCACATGACACAGCAGATCTGCTGTCTCACCCGCTGCTCCCCTCAGCAGTGTATTTCAGTATCTACCTGTTCTACTCACCACTCTGTTTCTGGTGAATCCTCTCAAACACACCCCGCCCCCACCACCACCACCACCACACACACCCCTCTGGTCTGTAACCCTGTTCTGGTATGCATAAATAAATATTTTTAAATAAAAAGAGATAAACCCCAGCTTGAGAAAGGAAGCCCCAGGTAGGTTGCCTAGCTCCACACTGCTGGTTCAAGTACCAGCTCCTTTCTACAGGGAAATGACAGCTTGGGGGGAGGGCCTGGCTCACATAAGCTTCCTTCTCGTGGCCTCACAGATGCATAGATATATATGCACAATGTTGTATAGGCTTTTGTATGTGATGTGTGCTGGCAATTCTAGAAGCTACCTTTTTTTCCATTGGGATCCTGGAGTTAAACAGAATTGGACCCCCCCTAGTTATACTCTAGAATTTTCCTGCCACAAACTTGTATGCTGCCTGCTTCTATCAGACGGTTTCCTGCTGATGGGACACTATAATTGCCCACATCCTTTGCTACCTTGAACAAAATGTCCATGGATGTCATTAAGGAATCAAAGGGTTGCCAGTGTTGCAGGATGTCCCCACTGCTGAAATAATCAGTTTGTCACTTCTGTCTTGTGCAATACCTTAAGGTGAAGGTTGTCTTGCCCCCATTTTTAGGGTCTGGGGGTTTGTTTGTGCCCAAGAATGGAGAAGATATTCTGTGCTGTTGCGTAACTTTGGTTCCATCTCTCCTCCCAAATGTTCTGTGTGAGATATAAACACCTTTATTCTTGACATGTCTGGTTCATTCCAAGAAGTCAGCCTTTTTTAAATTTGTTTTGGGAACAACTCCCCTTCTGTTTACTCTGTTCCAATGTTATTTAGAACTTCGACTCATCTCAAGAGAAAAGGTATGCCCGCCAGCAGCTGCTCCCGTCGCTGGATATGTGTGCTGCTCCTTCCACAATAGCCCTAATTTTGGAAGCTGCTTCTCAAGGGTGGGTTATTTGCAATAATTCATTTGCACTAATCCGGTGTGGCTGAAGTGACACCCGGTGGCCTCCACGTTGGCTCGTGGAAACCAGCTGACGTATTTGCAAACCTGAAGCCTGAGCTAACCTGAACAGTGGACAGGAGGTAGAGGTGACCATGGGTGGGAGACCAAGATGCTGCTGTCACAGCACCAAAAACCCAGGCCCGGTATCTAGTGATCCCTGCTTAATGCATGTGACGTGAGCATCCAGCATCTTGTCAACCTGGAGTGTCTGGAGAAACAGTTTCAGCACCTATTTGGGAATGCTTTCATAGCCCTGGGTGAGAGCAAGGAGGACGTCTGAGACGCAAGCATTTGGTCTGGTCTTGTAGGCCCCTTGAACTGACTGCCTGTGGTGAGAAGTGAGGTAGTGAGGTACACAGGGGACTCCCACTTCGGACACCCCCAAGGGCACTTTTCCCAGACTTGAGTTGGCACCCTCAGAGCCAGTTCAGCACCTGTTTGCTCATGTGGTTTGTCTTCTGAGCGCCCTGCCTGGCCCTGGAATTTTTAGCCACCTCCTTGCAGCAGCAAATGAAGAAAAGGGGGATGTCTCCTCAGGACTGAGCTCCCCACTTCCAGCTCCAACATTCTTGTGCTTCCCTATTGCTTATGACTTGGGTTCCCCTTTATCGTGGCTGCTGATTCTCCCTCAGTAGCTTTTGCCATCCCCTGCTCACAGCCTCTCCCTCCCTGCTTGGTCCAGGGAAGCCTCCCCTCTGCAGCCCCAGAGTATCCCGTAGGCAAAGAGGTTACTACAGTTAAATATATCAGCCAATCTGTGCGTTCTTAATCTGAGAGCTCAAAATCGTTATTGTTTTGGAGCAGTTGAGTCTGGGAAGTGGAGGTATGAGCTGTCAGTTGTTACTTAAATTTGATCCCTGTGGCTCTGGAGACACAGGTTCCCTGAGGGCAAAGGGCGAACCCTTGGTCAAAAGTCCAAGGACCTCCTAGGTGCCAAGCCCTATTGACAGTGGGACGAAGTTAAATAAGATGAGGTGCCTGTGCCCGTTGATATGGACCCTCAGTGAGAACGTGGGGTGCTTTGCTAGAGAAGAGAGCAGCGGTGGTTCCTGGGCTGGGGAAGCGTTACAGACCTTGACCTTAGTGAAAGCTGAGAATGGCAATAGAGGCCCCGAAGCTTCAGTGAACATGAGCTTAAAAAGCGTGTTTGGAGAGCAGGTGTGGCCTCCCCCACTCCCTGGAAGGCCAGCATGTTTGTAGACAAATTCGAGCCTCGCGTTTCTTAGTGCCTGGCGCTGTTGGATCCCAGCCACAGGCAGCTCTTAGAGGAGGTTCGCTAGGTGGGGGACTTAGTTTGTGCTGAATCTCCCAAACTTGAAAGAATGAAAATCTTCAACCTTCACAGTCCTTCACCTGGGATTAATAGAATGAATTAACCTCTTGGGACCGCAGCTCTGGGTGGAGGGATGGTGCTGGCAGTGCCTGGCAGTTTGGGCGGTTAGGGTAGGAGTGGATGGAACAAGGAAAGGACTGGCACCGCCCCCCACCCCTGAGGTGCTTCTCCCGGTGGATAAGGTATGAGAAAAGTGAAACCTGCAGCTTATTCGAGGCTGGTGAACAGTTCCAGGCTGGAGACTGACCTTGGGTCTTGTGGAAGAGCATTAACCAGTTACACCTTAGCTACTTGACCTCTTAGTGGCCTTGGCTGTCACTAGAACCTTCCCAGGCACCCAGGGCTAAATAAAGCCTCTGCCTTCTCTGTCAGTACCTTCCCTCTGAACATTTGAGTCATCCCCATCAAAGCAACAAGACACCCAAAAAACTTCAGCACGTTTGCTTGGCGACAGGGACATCCAGGCACCAGCTCATTTGTTCAATGCTGCACTAACCACCTAGAGCTTCCTCTGACCAACATGCTGCTTTCTAAGTGTCCTGGGCTCTATCGTGGTCACTGGTAAACGGGCCTGTTTCATTCCTCTGGAGGCCTCTGTTCAGGGCTGGGCGAGTTTAGGGAATGATCAGCTGCCTGGGTCCCCCAAAGAGGACTGAAAGCCCTCATTCCCAGTTCTCTAGGAAGACGTGGACTAGGGGCTTTGGAGCAGTGACTGGGCTTCATAGTATTCTAAAGGGAAAAACTCCCTGCCCTCAAGTCTCCCTGCTCCAAAATGCCCACTTTGTCAGGCTCCCTTTCCTTTTTCTGTCATCCTTACCTGTGCCCCAAGCCTGCTTTCCCCCTCGAGGGCAGTTTCCTTTGTGATTCTGGAAAGACCGTCTGGCCTGCCCATGTGTCCTGAACCAGAGAAGGCATTCACTGTTCATTCCTTTATTGATCCTGCCTGCGCCCTGAGTATAGCGGGGAGTGGTGCCGGTGGGTCCTGCTGTGGTGAGGAGAGTGAGTGAGGGTGAAGGCTCGCGCCAGCTGCAGTTGTGACAACAGTTCATCTGTGTGGGACCGCTGCTTGAGGCCGCAGGTCTGGAATGAGTCCAGTGTGTTCAGTGAGAGCCTGTGAGCACGTCAGCGTTGAGCCCAGGTGACCCCAAAAGGAATGTTGGCCCGGCGGATGGTTAGCTGTGTGGTCCAGGTAGGGACAACGGAACTTTGTCCTCCGGGAAGCATGCACTGGGCGCTCTCACTCGGACCCCATGTCCTCATCCTCTCTGCCTGGGGAGAGCTCTGCACATACATGTTAGGGGAGTCTTCTGGCCTCTCCACCGTGTAGGCCTTCCCTACCACACCATTCCCCACCTCACGTTTCCTGCCTGGATAGGCAGGGTGATCAGATCACAGGCTCATTTGCCATATCCTCCACTGCTCCATCCCAAAGGCCTCCAGAGTGTGGATGGGGCCAACCCTCAGTTACCCTCTGAAGTGTTGGGGCCACAAAAATACCATGGACTAGGAACTGGGACACGGCTTTCGGTCCTGGCCCTGTTATCAACTCACTGCAATTTGGGGCCAGTTGCTGGCCGTCCCTGATAAGGCATGATTTTTTAAGGTCCAGAGTAGAATGGCAGTTAATTTATTTGTTTGGTGTTGGGGGCTCCCATGACCCATTGAGTGAAATGCCTCAAGCAAAAATCTCAGGGAAGACACTTCCTGTCTTCATTCCCAAGAGCCTGTGTAAGCATGAACACTGATCTATCTGTACAGGAAGTTAGGTCCGGAAGTCTGCGGCTCTGGGGAAAGGTCGTTGGGATCCTGGGGCTCAGCATCATGACTAGCTGGGACACCCCCAGCCCTTCCTCTGTGCTGGCTGGGGCTGGCATTCTCCTAGGCTGACTCCCTTGCTGCATGCTCATCCTCTTGAGTCCATGTGGCTGTGGCTTCAGTAGGGTTAGCTGGTAACCCTGCTAGGGTGATTTGCATTTACAATTTTGGAGATAGGAAATATCTTAAGACTGAAGGTACAAGTCTAGGTTTCATCTGTACACGCCATTCCGCTACCTGGAAAGTGGGACGTGGAGGGCCTGGGTGTGTGGGTGCAGAGGGGCAGTCCAGATGCAGGGGTGCTGGCCTTTCTGGCCTGGATTACCAGCAGGACCACCTTCTGTGCTTCCACTGCTATGACCTCGCCTAGTGGCAGTTGGGGCTGTTCTGTCTGGCCGCTGCCCAGCCCTACCATGAGCTGGCAGCAAAGAGGCCCCTTTCCCAAGATGCTCTTGCATTCCAAGGTCAGCTTCACCTACCTTCTGTCGCTGGGCCTTTCCTGCCCAGGAGGTCCTGGACCATTTGTCCCCGATGATACCCTAGTTAAGGAGAGGAGAGAGAGCAGGAGAGTGTGGCAGAGGAAGGCTGTCTTTAACCAAAAGGGCCAGGGCCGGAGCCAGAGGTGGGATCTTGTAAATGAAATTGTTTCTCAATCATCCTAGGAGCCGAGGAAAACCTATGAATTGGTTCATTCGCCCACTGATTCATCCACTGATTCCTTTTTCTCCCTCCCTCCTGCCCTTCCTTCCATAAACACCTCAAGGGCGGTTCTAATAGAAACTGCTGCGTGTTGGGGATACCAAGGAGATGGCAGACCTGGCACCTGCGCGTGGGCAGGTTTCTAGTCCCAGAACAACAGCTCTGTGACCCAGCAGGACAGTGCAGTGCATTGTGCAAAGCAGAACTTCGGGCCTAGGCCCTGGAGAGAAGCTCCACCTGGCCAGGCCAGGCAGTCCGGAAGGAGAGCGGCCTGGGAGTCCCCAGGGCAGCCCTGAGCACGTGGTGAGTCACGCTGAGGCACTGGGCTTGGTACACAGAGCACCGAAGGGCTGGTGCGTAAAGGGCGGTTGGTTTGGTCAGTTTTGTTTGTCTTGTTTTACCAAAGGGCTTTAGACGGGGTACCGCTTGCTTAGAGAGGCACTTCTAAGGTCCTCTGGGTCCAAGGTGAGGAATGGCTTGATCCATCCTTCCATTTCCAGGCTGTAGACCCAAGGTCATTCTGAACTAGCCTCACTCCTGTCTCCTCGTCCCTCCCACCACTCCCTTGACATGAAGCAACCAGGAGGCTGTCTAAGGAAGCAACCAGGAGACCAGGTGTGGCCGATCTGCCCCCTCCACCTCCACTGTCAGTGTGGTGTGTCTCTGGTCAGACTTGTTAGTGGTTAGGACAACTTGGCCCCCCTCAGGGAACTTGCTGAGGGGGAGGTCTGGTTGACAGTTTACCTGTTCTTCTCTCTGACTGGAGAGGAGGTATTCCTGGGGGAGAGAGAGAAAGAAGGAATGAGGGCCACAATGCTTCCCAGGGGTGCGGGGGTCAGTGACATGGGAGCGGCCCCTGGCTCTCTGGGGTTGGGTGCCTTGGGGCTTCAGTGGAGCTCCAGTCCCTCCCAGTTGTCCTCATATGGCCAGGCTACTCAGCTGCTCCTGGCAGGAGGCAGCGTGGTGGTGTGGGAAGTGCACAGATCAGGGGCACTGGTGCTGGCTCTAGCAGGTTATCCCTGGAAAGTGCTGGACTTTCCTGGGCCTCAGTTGTGTGATTGGATCACGTGAGCACAGTAGGAGCTCTTGGAATTTTCCCCGTAGACCCCCACCCCATGCTCCTCATGGGTTGGATTTAGAAGAAAACTCTGAAGTTCAGGCTAAACCTCATTTTGTAGAGGAGAACACTAAGATGCAAAATGTTTGGTCATATGCTAGTTTTTCATTTTTGCAAGCATTTTTTAAAAAATAAAAAAATATTCCAAGAATACATATCCAGTATAGAAAGAACTAATGTGGAGGTTTGTACAGTAAAAATGAGGAGTCCTGCACTCTCCCTCACCACCACTTCCAACTTTGGAGGGCTAGCCACTGTTGATTGATGTATTTCCTTCTAGAACCTTCCTTGTGCATCTTTAGGTATATGTGTGTGTGCATTTAGTTTTGTCAAAAAACAATACACTTCTTTTCCTGCTTAACCACCTTTGAGATCTCTATGTATCTTTCTACAGATTGCCTCATCCTTTTTGTACCACAAAGGGTTATGGCTAGGCCTAATATAGTGTGGTCATTCCCTGGTGGATGGTTTTGATGTGATTTCCAAATCCTGGCTGTTACAAACAAGTTGGCAATGAACACTCTGGAACAAATAGCTCAGGATGCTGGCACTGACAGGATTCCTATTTGACAGAGTTCCTGAAGTGAGAATATTGGTCAAGATGGGTAGTGCCAACATGTCCTCCAGATAGTGCATAAACATGCTAGTTCCTTCAGACCCTCACCAACACACCTTTATATATATATATATATATATATATATATACATGTGTGTGTGTGTGTGTGTGTGTGTGTGTATAATGTTGACCTAAGAAAGATAAAAATGTTCTGTTGGGAATATTTTTTCCTTGTCCTGTCCTCCCAGGAACTGAATCAAGAGTGCCCTCAGGAAACAGGTTCACTTTGGTAATTCTATGTGAGCCCAACAGAATTGACTAGAAGGTATGGCTTGTGGGTTAGCTCACATCTAGCTGTTGATCTGTAGCTCTGCCACCACTCTCCAGAGTCATTTACAGTACCAAGGAAGGGTTGGTGCCAGGGGGGGACAGTCTCCCCATAGGCCAGAGACAGCCCTAGCTAGCATGAGTAACACTCCCCCAAGTGTCCAATTTGTAGATTATTTATATGGAGACATACTGCATCCCAGCGTGTGAATGATCCCCACTGGACTGGACTCTGGGTCCTGGACTTCAAGCTGGGGCCTCTGCATAGTGTAAGAACCCGCTCAAAGCCACACCCACCTTAGTCACTCACCTCCCACCCGTTTCCCCATCAGCGCAAAGAACTGGCTTGCTTTGCCCCTCTTCACCTCCTGAAGCTGGAGCTGAATGCTGGGGATAATGTTTTCCTGAAGAAGTAGAGAGTTCATTAGAGTTAGACTTGGGGCATGGGGGACATGGGTGGGGGCAGGGGTGAAGAGACAAGACGAGCAGCCTGAGCAGTGAGAACAGCCATAGCACGGGTCTTGGCACTGCATGCTTTACCAAATGCCGCACACAGAGACGACAGTAGCATCCACCTACTACGTCCCTGGCACGGTACTGAGCACTTGCATATGTGAACTCGTTTAATTCTCACCAAACCCCCAAGTACTATTCTTGTTACCATTTTACAGATGAAAACAATGAGTTGTCTAACTCAAACCTTCAAACACATCAGGCGTAATCTCATTCACAACCACCATGAGAAGGAAGGATGATTGTCCCCATTTTACAGATGGGGAAGCAGAGTAACGGAGGTTAAGTGACTCATCTAGGGGCATGCAGGAAATGGTGGCACCAGGATTCAAAGCCTGATGCCAGAGCATGGCTCTGCTCTAGCTTGGAGGTGTGTTCAATGTAGACAAGGAGAGACAGCCCAGGGGCTCAGGTGGGCACCCAGTAGGCACAGCCCGAAGAAAGGCCTGCTCAGCTCTGCCCTGTGGAAGAATGACAGGGGTGACATTCCGTAGACATCTGTGTCCCCAGTAGCTGGCACAGCACGTGGAGCGTTCAGACGGGCAGCCGAGGGGTGCTTTCTCTGGCCTGGGAGTGAGGGTCTCCTTGTCTCCACAGGCTGATGACGACAGGTCAACAGCTGTCATGAAGGGCCTGCCAGGGGCACGGACCTGGGCTGGATAGGGGCCCTTCCTCTGACCTGTAGCGCTGTAGGGACAGCACTGAGCTCCTGGAACAGTTGGCTGGGGCGCCGCAGAAACACTTGCTTCTTACAGCTCTCCTCATCCCAACTTAGGGGCTCAGGAGTGAATTGTCTTCTAGGCCTTGAACTAATTCAGTCACTTCCAGTCTGTCTCTAGCACATCAATGGCTTGGGCAGCTGTCCCGAGCTGGAGTCACTTGATCAGAAACCAGAGAAGTCTCTGGAGATTTGGACCCATTTCTAAAAAGCTTGAAAATCACTTTGTCCCAAAAAAGGCAGCCTTCAATTACAAGCTGGCAAGGATGACTGTTGATGACTTAAGTAACACTCACCTTTCTCCCAGCCACTGGGTTTCTGGGGTGGGAGAGGGGTTGGGAGACACTTGGTCCCTTCTCTGCCCCCACAAAGCCCACGTTACCTTCTCACCCAAGTCCCCAACTCCAGTGATGATGGCAGGCAGGACCCCTGAGAGCAGGGAGTGAGCCTGAGGGCGCCACCACTCCTCTGTCACCTCGCCACAGTGTAAGTTCTGCACTCTAGTCAGTCTCCCCAGTGTTCCCAGTGTGTGTCTTGGGGAGCAGGGGGCTGTTTCAGGGTGAGAAAGGAGGAATGTTAGACCCAGCTGCGGGGTGGGAGGGAGTCTAGCTGTACTCCTTGGTTTCTGTGTACCCACAGGACACCCTGTCACGTGGTTCCACCTCTGCCGGGCTGGGTCCTCTGACACTGGGCAGATTCTGTAAAGACGGGGGGAAACACTCGGAGTCATTTCTGACTTTACAGGTAAGCAAAGCCATGTCCTGAGAGGAGCAGCTGCACCCTGTCCAGGGCCACACGGAATCAGTGCAGAAGCTGAGACTGGAACCCTGGTCTCCTCAACAGCTTGCACTTCCACTCGCAGCCAGCCAAACCTAGCACCAATGGCTGTCTGCCCACTGCTTCTGCTTGTCACTGGGGCCTGGGAGGCACCAGCCTCAGCCTTGCATCAGCTGGGAGTCCTCCTAGGCGACTTTCCAAGCACTGGCCCTGTTGTCTCTGGGCTGCAGACGTCTTCCTCTCAGAGTGGGAGCTTCCGGGGGCAGGATCAGAGCAGGTGGGCACAATACTGGTTTCTAACTTTGAGATTTCTCCCCAGTGACAGTGCTCAGGTCAGTTGAGTAGAAAAGATTGAGGATTAAACCACTACTTGTCAGGAGGTAAGTTTCTACATGGGAGACACAACAGTGACCCTGGCCCAAGATGATCCCTTGAAAGAATATCTCTGATGCGCAGAGATACAGAATCAGACCGTGGGCAAGGCGTGCCGATGAAGTGCTGGTTGAAGCCAGCTGCTTCAGAAGCTGTGTAATCTTGGACAAACCACTTGACATCTCTGTGCTTCAGTTTCCACCTCTGTGAACTGGGGATAATAAAGTACCTTCTTCCCCATGAGGTTGATATGAAACTTAAATGGGTTAATATTTCTAAACAGTGCCGGAAACACAGTACATGTTATAAGTGTTACACACATACACACTCTCTCATACTTGCTCCTGGTCCCTTCAGAGGTTGGCCAGGCCACAGAGAGCAGACAGACAGCTGGCCTTTCAGTATAAACCTGCTCTCCCAGCAACCACGAAGGAGTTTCCTCCCCTTGCCCCCCAAACCCTGCTTCTGCCCAAAGGTACCTCCAGGGTCACGGTTACCCAGGGCCCCGCTTCGGCGCTGAGAACCAGCTCCTCGTCCCCAGCCAAAGTGCAGGCGTTCAGCCCCATGAGGAGGAACAGGGCGAGGCAGAGCAGCATGGTGAGCCTCCTGCCCTGGCCCCTCTGCCAGCCACTCTTGGTCCAGCCGATCTGTCCTCTGGTGCCTCTCTGGCTCCTGTCAGGTGGGCGGGGAAGTGCCACCTGTTTTCAGTCCTTCCAGCTAGCCTGCTTCTTCTCCAGTTTATCTGCCCCCTGGGCCATTTCCGGTACTCCCCTCCCTCCCTCACTAGAAAGGCCAATGGTGTGAGGAGCCACTCCGAAGGAGGGACAGGTCTCTCCATTGCCACCCCAGCACTTGATCCCTGGGCTTCGCCCTCTGATGCAACACCGGCCTCCCTTCCTTGGCTGCATGCCCTTCAGTGGCAGGTGCACAATGGAGCAGTGTGTGGGGCTGGAACTTGCAGCTTCCTGACTGGAAGCCCTGAGGGGCTTCTGGGCAGCATGATGGGCGAGGGCACTGATGTCTCCTCCCTTCGTGGTGCTCTGCTCCCTTGCACAGAGAGGCCTCACCCCAGAACTTAGTATTTCACCACACAGCTGGCCCCCTTCCTATCATCAGCACCACCTCCCCCCACCCTGGGGTTCCTGGGCATCTGCGGTCTCCATGTGTGGAAACACAGGTCTTGCCCTACAAGAAACAACACTGTGCTTAAAGAAATGAGACGCTTCACAAACTGTAATTGGGATTTGCCGGGAAAAAAACACCCCCTGCCATAAGTGTCATCGTCTCTGCTGCTGATACACACCTTCCCACTACTCTCAGTGATCTTTCTACAGCCAACCTGGCCTGTCTGTTCCCTCTTACAGCCTTCCCGTGTGTCCCCATGACCCACGGGCATGACATTCAAGCCCCACGCGTGGCATTCCAGGCCCTTCTCCACTTAACGCCTCCGTATCTCCCATCCACCCGCCATGCATCCTGGCTGGGTGATCTTAGGCACATTTCTCAACCCCTTTAAACCTAAGAATCTTTATCTTTAAAACAAGATTAATAATAGCACTTATTTGGAAAGATGTTTGAAGATGAAATGAGATAATGGAGCACTTAGCACAGTGCGTGATGGTAAATATTTAATACCCGTTAACTGTTATTACTGTTACTATTATTGACACTGGGGGAAGCGTGGGCCACAAAAATGTAGAAGACACCACTCCTGTCCAGCAGCGTCTCACAGTCCAGGAGAGACTCCTGGCTGGTGGACAAGCTTTGTTCACGTTTGGTACATGCGGTCATAGAAATTAGAGCAAGGGAAGGGCTTGACTCTCCAGTCTGCCCAGCACTCACCGCGCGGACCCCAGGGTGGGTAGAGACTTCTGCCCCGCCCCCCCAGGCCTTGGCTGTTGCCTCTGGGAGGAAATGGCGAGCTCCTGCCCACCTTTAAAGGTCCAAATCAATGGTCACTTCCTCAATAGTATTTTTCTGTCTCTATTCCTACCCCAGCAAAAACTGACCCCTTTGCTGGGCTCTCCCTGTTTCTTACCTGTACCTCTGGCAGCTCTGCAGCTGTGGTGGGAGGTTGCGCAGACCATGTCCTGCTCATAGGTGGCTGCCTCGGGTGTCACCCAGCCCTCACTGCTCCCTTAGGCATGCGGGCTGGCTGACACTGCACTCTGCTGCAAGCAGGTGTTTTGTTCTGTTTCTCCCAAGGGGGCCAGCTGAACTGAGGATAGCCCTGCTAGTCTGCAGGAGGGCAGCTGATGATGCCTCGAGCTTTCTGGAAGTGAGGCTGTGATAAGTGTGTGCTTGGCACACCAAAGTCCTTACAACGTTTGTAATCACTGGGTCCAGACCAAGGAAGGCAGAGATGAATAAGGGCACGTGTGGAGGTTTGAGGGAGGATATCCCCAACTGCATACCACATTCATCCCCTTCCAGGAATCTCTTTGGTGGATCCCAAACCCGAAGGCTTCAGCGTCCTGGCATTTGCTGACATGCAGATTCCCTGGCTCAACCTCATTCTGACAGCCAGCCTTGTCTGTGGGTTGATCGTGGCACTTGGAGGGGCTTCACTCACCTTCCCTCACCTTCCAAAGGGCAGAATCCTTAATAACTCACATTCCATTTTGGGGTTTCTGTTGTTTCAAGTTCTTCTGTTTTGCTTTTCATTCTCTTTATTTTACAGATGTGGAAACTAAGGCAGGGTGGGCTTGTTCTGGGTTAGCTGAGAAGGCCTGTCTGGCGAGCATCCTGGACCTCCCACCTCACTGGGGCCTCAGCCCACACGGGCAGGCCACACAGGCTGGGGGCAGAGGAACAGCATGGGCCTCAGGGGGAGATGACTTTCCATCCTGCAGAGTCAAACCTCCCACCTAAGGAAGGCGTCTCTCTCAAGTCTCCGTGCCTGCCACTGCAAATTGTGGCTTCCCTTCATTGGGCAGTGGTCAAGAGTGAACGGATTCCCGGGCGCAAAGCCTCAGCTCAGTGCCTGGCACATCATACACACGCAATTAACCCTACCTTGGGTTTTGTTGTTATTCCTTCGCTGCACCCCTGCACTGAGACGCTGGTCTCCAGTCCTTGGCTGAGCTCCCCGCCCCTGCAGCGCAGGATGTGGTGGGTGCCCAGCGGGAGGGAGAGGCGAGGTGGTGCTGGGGGCAGAGGAGAGGGCGGGGCAGAAGGGAGCGAAATCCCAAAGGTCCGGAAGGCCAGGAGGCAGGCAGGGCATGGGCTGGAAACCGCGGCTATTTGCAGCGATGCCCTCGGGCTGCGGTCCGGCTGGCGC